TCTAAAATTTCTAAATAGCAAAAGGCACCAGTTCAGCATGTACCTGACAGACCTGCAAAGTTTGATGAAAAAATATTGAACGGTTTATGAGTTATGCTCCGGAAACGAAACGTGACGGACAGCCGGCCGGCCGGCCGGACAGACGGACAGACAGACAGACGGAGCCCCTTTCTATATATCCCCCGCCAACTTTGTTGGGCGGGGGATAAAAACTGGTGAGACTTCTTGAAGCTTTCTGACAATAAGAAAGAACTATTTGTGTTTCTCAGCACAGAAGCTATCACAATCCAAACCGACAAGCAAGTCATTAGCACACTGCATGAGGATGTTGTCTGTCACCTGCCTAGAACAACAGAGTGAGTGAGTGAGTTGGGTTTAACGCCGCTTTTAACAGTATTCCAGTTATATCGTGGCGTCTCAGCTTCATGTGGGAGGAAAGCCCAAAGTGACGCAGGTATCAGACGTTTACCACTTCGGTGGAACCCATGAGCACAGGTATGGTGCTGACAAACCTAGAAACATAATTGGGGCAACCGGGATTCGAACCCATGATCATAGGTTTCTGGCGTGTCCAAGGGACACAACTCTGCACAGCAAATCGCAGCGGTTTAGAAGACTGGGCCAAATGTGCCCCCCTAGAACAACAGAAGGACTAGCACCTTGCACACATGAGGAAGCAGACAGCCGAATTATGGTCCATGTCGCTGATGCAGCTAAACAGTACAAGAAAGTTCTCATCCGTACAGTGGACAGTGATGTTGTTGTGATTGCTGTACATGTTTTTGCACAGCTAAGAATACAACTAACGGCTTTGTGGGTGGCCCTGGCGCAGGCAAACACTTCCGGCTGATTCCTGTACATGACCTCGCTTTAGCAATTGGATCAGACTTCAGATCAGAGTCTCGCACTTGCTGTACTGCACTGTGCAAGTGTGATGGATGTTGCTAATACAAGTACATGTAACCAATAAATTGCAATGGAAAACTTATTTGTCTTGAGTATTAGGGTATTTTTAACCCTTATTGTGCGCACCCAGACAACAGCAGAGACAATTTAACGAACACTTCCAATATGCTTATCTTTGATGGGTTATACTTCTACATTCACCGATAGGAGAGTCGCCCGCCATATGTGTTGATGCCATATTATCAGGAATATTTCCAATTATCAAGGGTTAATACACTCAACGAGGTTTTCAACTTTTTTGGAGATAAAACACATTTATTTACACACCAATATAATGGTTCCAGCTATCTTAGTTACCAAGATATTAACAGATATTTGTCAGATTGTCGCCCATTTTTCAAGATGGCCACCAAGGTCACAAAAGGTCAAGTCAACGATGGCACTATATCTAAATTTGACCGTATTGGTATGATGTATATTGATGCCAAATTTCATGCTTTTACCACAAAGTGCACAATTTTTTTACAATATGCCATAATCCGCTGGACTACATAGTTGTGAAGTAAATCCTACCCCTGGCAGGAAGCACAACTGCGCATGCGGGAACACATCACTTCATTTTACCCATAATTCTCAAACACAAGATGCAGATTATGTGGGAGGGACTAATTCCGGATGTAATAGAGGTAGTATTCTCAGAACTATACACACTGGCAACTAGTATCCCTCAATAGATGGCAGCAGTAGAATGGGAAATATATAAAGATATTAATGGGAAGGGGACTGGAGGTAGTTGCCTTGTGATTCAGATTCCCAGATTCTTCTTTTCGGGTTATGGATACTTACTGACATTACCGCTGCTTCTAAGGTTCTTCTTGACATACTTCCTGTAATATTACCTGAATCCTCTTCCAGGCAACATAATTAAGACCTTATCTCCTTTGGGTCTATTATACATATGTCGTCATTTTCCATATGACTTTATATGACTTCCCATTAGTAATATATAGACAGTTTTACCATTATGCCGGTTTTGAAGTCTCCCTTTGACAACAGTGTCTGGAGGTCAGTACAATGATACAACCTTGGCTACCATGTAGAGACCTTATATGCAGCGATCATGTAGGACCAAATGACTGATGCTTGTTTCTCGTAATGAATTCTGGTAGAGATCTGAATGATATGGAACTCCAGTTCTGTTCGTGTATTATAGATGAGATTTCTATGGCATGAGGCTCTGGTACTCAGACCGAAGTGGCCATAGCGATGAGGAAATCTGTTTTCCTTGAACTGTTAGTAGTGTAGCCTTGTTCACAGGGTGGTATGGAGGCTTCATCAGAGCTGACAGAACTATGGACAAATTCCATGTTGGGAGGGTACGTGGTACTATAATGTCTTACAGGACTTCATGAGACGATTTAATACTGGGTGAGTTCCAATAGCTTATCTGATGGTTGAGTTCTAGAACTTCTGAGTTGTAGATGGGGCAAATCTGGTCTATGACGGAATGTAATGTTCCATTTTACATAGTCGGGCGGTGATGGTCTGGGACAGCACACTCCTGCTAAGAGGTTCAAGGATCGGCTGACGTATTTGTTGAACCAGATGATGTTGTTGCATTAGTAGAATCTGAATGGCCTAGAAGTCTTCTTGCATTTTAAGAATATGATCCAGGGATCTGTGGATGAACCCAACCTGTTCCATGACCGTGTCAACTGTGGTGACCAGGGACAACTCCGCTTGAGGGTTGACTGGTGGTATGATGTGTTTGATACCCAAAGGCGACCCAGTTAATGTAGGTGTTAATATTCACGGCCTGTTTGTAATAGAGGTAGGTAATTTAAAGGATGGGTTGATGGCAAGATCAGCTGCCCTTAGTTTTGCTCCTTCCAGATGAGATCTGTGACCTCAGGGCCCGAACACAAGAAGTGGACTGGTTCCGGAAGTGTGTAACTTATAGCCCTGAGATACAACATCTAGGATCCAGTGGTCGAACGTAATCAGTTTCCAGTTGACGGCATAAACAACAGACGTCCCCCCACTGGACCCGGGGACGGTGTTACGTTGACAGGTGGAAGTCGTAGATCGTAATCTGTAGACAGAGCCAAATGGATAGGGCTTGTGACTGAAAAAGGGAGCAGGGGAAGACTCATTGATGGACCCCGCGACCTCCCGATTTGAAAATCTCTTCTGCTAGATCCCTGATGTTTGTAGTCAGGCTGACAAAAGGAATCCAATTGCTAATGAGAATGATCTGTTCGTTGGAAAGGTTGAAAAGTTACCTTGCCAGAGGAAATAAACTTCTTCCTAGCTTCTTCACGGAAGGAAGTGTCTCTGGATTGGTCTCTTTTGATGATTCATGAGTTTTGACCGGTAAGTTGATGGGAGACATTTGATATCTCTCAGCTGTGTCTTGTCTGACCTCATCAACAATCTTCACAATTTGATTATTAAATATCTTTTGGGCTGTTATTGGTGGGCACATCACCATCTTCTTGGCTTGATTTGATACAGTCCTAGATCAGATCTGTGATAGGAGCTGCTGACTGCATCCAGATGAATTGAGAAGACATCCAAACTTGCATGATAAGTAGTTCCTGTTGCATCTTAATAATTGTGCCAAGAGACAGTGAATAAGACCCGCTAGATCTAGACGGATAGATAATGTGGACATCTGCCGGTACAGCATCATGGGATGGCTGCAAAAGGAAGAAGTAAGGCGTGACGGACTCAGACCACAAACCAATTGATACAAGCACCAATATCTGTGGAAAATCTGTTGACAGTTGACAGATCATTGACATGACTAGTCAGGTAAGGGCAATCTCATGTTGGGATTTTTGACCAGCTGGAGAAAGTCCTCATATAAAACTGTATAATCAGGGAACGGCGAGTCATGCGTCCAGCATAGTGGGAGTCTATCAACATGCCGAAGTTTATGTAGATTATCCGAAGCTTGTAATCGATAATCCCTTGTGTGTAGCTCAGCCATGGCAGAGTAAGGTGAACGTTAGATGTAACAGGGCAACATGCGACGGACTAGACAGGTGCAGCATGAAATGGTATAGGGAGTTCAGCAGATCCACGAAGGAAAGAGGAGTCCCAAATTTCCGCGGTAGGAATTTTTTTACCTCATATCTATTTTCGTTGTCCAGGTCAGAGTCAGAAGGGACGCATATTTCCGGCCTTTGAAAAGGACTGGTCTGTATGGGGAAGGACTGGTCTGTATGGGGAAGGACTGGTCTGTATGGGGAAGGACCGGTCTGTATGGGGAAGGACTGGTCTGTATGGGGAAGGACTGGTCTGTATGGGGAAGGACTGGTCTGTATGGGGAAGGACCTGTCTGTATGGGGAAGGACTGGTCTGTATGGGGAAGGACTGGTCTGTATGGGGAAGGACTGGTCTGTATGGGGAAGGACTGGTCTGTATGGGGAAGGACCTGTCTGTATGGGGAAGGACCGGTCTGTATGGGGAAGGACTGGTCTGTATGGGGAAGGACCTGTCTGTATGGGGAAGGACTGGTCTGTATGGGGAAGGACTGGTCTGTATGGGGAAGGACTGGTCTGTATGGGGAAGGACCGGTCTGTATGGGGAAGGACTGGTCTGTATGGGGAAGGACTGGTCTGTATGGGGAAGGACTGGTCTGTATGGGGAAGGACCGGTCTGTATGGGGAGGCAGGTGTGGCATGAAATTGTATAGGGAGTTCAGTAGATCACGAAGCAAAGAGGAGCGGTGGAGAATTTCCAACCTCTTAATCACAAGTCAGTCACGGCAGGCACACATAACTGACAGATGCCTCTCTCTCTCTCTCTCTCTCTCTGTGTCTCTGTCTCTGTCTCTCTCTCTCTATATATATATATATATTATTTTTCCTCATACTTTCCTTGGACAACATGCCAAAAGTTTGGGAAATCTCCTTACCTAATGCCTTGGTGGTCAAGAAACTGTATACATATTTAAAGATATACCACAATGAGTATGGTCACAACTAGTGCAAATACAGTTTCTGACTGAGCACTGAATTCAGGTCATAAACTGAAATGTCCACAAATATTTTATTTTAATCATGAAAGTACTGGTTTAAGAAACATACCTGGACAGTCTGCTTTGTAAGTCTGAGTCTCTGATTTGCCAGATTCAGATCTGACTGAGACTGTTGATTGGCCTCTTTCTGTTCACTTAAATTCTTCAGCGCCTGTCCCCGTGAGTCTCGCAGAGCTGCGATCTGGTGAGATAAACGAAAGTCCATGCACCCACATATCACTAAGACAGTTCACATGAAAGAAGTTACTTGTACATTCTGCATTAAGAAAGGATAGCCTACTCTAACAACAATGGAGCAGACAGTCAAAACCTTCCGATGTTTCCAAGACAGAACTTGTTCTTCTGCATTACTCAAAAGAAATGTTTACCCGACCCAGCTTTGGTCCAATACTCCAAGACACCAGACAATGGCCAGGGAGTCTGCATCACAATATGTTAGATGTCTGTGACTGAGGAGCAACTGTTATTGTTGTGAACCATTTTGAACCCACCTGTTGCTGGAGGTGCCACACTCTCTGTTTGAGTGATCCTAGCTGCCTCATAGCAGGTGTGACCATCTGAAAGCGGCCTTTCTTGGCTCTCTCTTTAAGTTGAGTACCGAACGGAATGGGGGAAGTTGCAGTCTCTCTTAATACAACTGTAAAACACATGGACAGGCTGTCAACTATCATTTTGGGCTGAATCCATCAACCTTCGCAGAAGCAACATCCAACACCTATGAAAATACAGATGTAGTTCTCGACATTTACACATTGTATTGGAATATCAGTATTTGAGGTAACTTGAATATTCATTACACAAAAATATCAAGATATTAAAACAATTGTTCTACTTTAAGGATAGCATTCAACATGTTAAGATATTGCTTCCTACCTCTGTGGAGAGTGTCTGAGCTGCTGGTTGTCAAGGACTCCTGACTCTGGGACACAGAGGGTCTTACTCCAGTATCTTGGATAACAACTCCAGGCTGTGCTTTCAACATCCTGGCTTTCTGTAAATGGCAAAAATGAAGGGTATTGCTATCAAAGCCTGACAAGCAGAATTTCCAAATTCCCATCTCACAGACTGATAACAGAGAGTCTGATGTCTCTGATGTACTGCCAATCCCACCTTGTCCTCACTCTGGACAGTCCTTCTTGTCTCAGTGTCTGATGGCTCCAGCTGTACCCACCTTGTCCACACTCTGGACAGTCCTCCTTGTCTCAGTGTCTGATGGCTCCAGCTTGTACCCACCTTGTCTACACTCTGGACAGTCCTCCTTGTCTCAGTGTCTGATGGCTCCAGCTGTACCCACCTTGTCTACACTGGACAGCCCTCCTTGTCTCAAGTGTCTGATGGCTCTAGCTGTACCCACCTTGTCTACAATCTGGACCGTCCTCCTTGTCTCAGTGTCTGATGGCTCCAGCTGTACCCACCTTGTCTACACTGGACAGTCCTCCTTGTCTCAGTGTCTGATGGCTCCAGCTGTACACACCTTGTCTACACTGGACAGCCCTCCTTGTCTCAAGTGTCTGATGGCTCCAGCTGTACACACCTTGTCCACACTCTGGACAGTCCTCCTTGTCTCAGTATCTGATGGCTCCAGCTGTACCCACCTTGTCCACACTCTGGACAGTCCTTCTTGTCTCAGTGTCTGATGGCTCCAGCTGTACCCACCTTGTCCACACTCTTGACAGTCCTCCTTGTCTCAGTGTCTGATGGCTCTAGCTGTACCCACCTTGTCCACACTCTGGACAGTCCTCCTTGTCTCAGTGTCTGATGGCTCCAGCTGTACCCACCTTGTCTACACTGGACAGCCCTCCTTGTCTCAAGTGTCTGATGGCTCTAGCTTGTACCCACCTTGTCTACACTCTGGACCGTCCTCCTTGTCTCAGTGTCTGATGGTTCCAGCTGTACCCACCTTGTCTACACTGGACAGCCCTCCTTGTCTCAGTGTCTGATGGCTCCAGCTGTACCCACCTTGTCTACACTCTGGACCGTCCTCCTTGTCTCAGTGTCTGATGGCTCCAGCTGTACCCACCTTGCCCACTCATTGGACAGTCCTCCTTATCTCAGTGTCTGATGGCTCTAGCTGTACCCACCTTGTCCACACTCTGGACAGTCCTCCTTGTCTCAGTGTCTGATGGCTCCAGCTTGTACCAACCTTGCCCACTCTTTGGACAGTCCTCCTTGTCTCAAGTGTCTGATGGCTCTAGTTGTACCCACCTTGCCCACTCTTTGGACAGTCCTCCTTGTCTCAGTGTCTGATGGCTCCAGCTTGTACCAACCTTGCCCACTCATTGGACAGTCCTCCTTGTCTCAGTGTCTGATGGCTCCAGCTGTACCCACCTTGCCCACTCTTTCGACAGTCCTCCTTGTCTCAGTGTCTGATGGCTCCAGCTTGTACCAACCTTGCCCACTCATTGGACAGTCCTCCTTGTCTCAGTGTCTGATGTCTCCAGCTTGTACCAACCTTGCCCACTCTTTGGACAGTCCTCCTTGTCTCAGTGTCTGATGGCTCCAGCTTGTACCAACCTTGCCCACTCTTTGGACAGTCCTCCTTGTCTCAGTGTCTGATGGTTCCAGCTTGTACCCACCTTGCCCACACTCTGGAAAGTCCTCCTTGTCTCAGTGTCTGATGGCTCCAGGTGTACCCACCTTGTCCTCACTCTGGACAGTCCTCCTTGTCTCAGTGTCTGATGGCTCCAGCTTGTACCAACCTTGCCCACTCTTTGGACAGTCCTCCTTGTCTCAAGTGTCTGATGGCTCTAGCTGTACCCACCTTGCCCACTCTTTGGACAGTCCTCCTTGTCTCAGTGTCTGATGGCTCTAGCTTGTACCAACCTTGCCCACTCTTTGGACAGTCCTCCTTGTCTCAGTGTCTGATGGCTCCAGCTTGTACCAACCTTGCCCTCACTCTGGACAGTCCTCCTTGTCTCAGTGTCTGATGGCTCTAGCTGTACCCACCTTGTCCTCACTCTGGACAGTCATCCTTGTCTCAGTGTCTGATGGCTCCAGCTTGTACCAACCTTGCCCACTCTTTGGACAGTCCTCCTTGTCTCAAGTGTCTGATGGCTCTAGCTGTACCCACCTTGCCCACTCTTTGGACAGTCCTCCTTGTCTCAGTGTCTGATGGCTCCAGCTTGTACCAACCTTGCCCACTCATTGGACAGTCCTCCTTGTCTCAGTGTCTGATGGCTCCAGCTGTACCCACCTTGCCCACTCTTTGGACAGTCCTCCTTGTCTCAGTGTCTGATGGCTCCAGCTTGTACCAACCTTGCCCACTCATTGGACAGTCCTCCTTGTCTCAGTATCTGATGGCTCTAGCTTGTACCAACCTTGCCCACTCATTGGACAGCCCTCCTTGTCTCAGTGTCTGATGGCTCCAGCTTGTACCAACCTTACCCACTCTTTGGACAGTCCTCCTTGTCTCAGTGTCTGATGGCTCCAGCTTGTACCAACCTTGCCCACACTCTGGACAGTCCTCCTTGTCTCAGTGTCTGATGGCTCCAGCTGTACCCACCTTGTCCTCACTCTGGACAGTCCTCCTTGTCTCAGTGTCTGATGGCTCCAGCTTGTACCAACCTTGCCCACTCTTTGGACAGTCCTCCTTGTCTCAAGTGTTTGATGGCTCTAGCTGTACCCACCTTGCCCACTCTTTGGACAGTCCTCCTTGTCTCAGTGTCTGATGGCTCCAGCTGTACCCACCTTGTCTACACTGGACAGCCCTCCTTGTCTCAAGTGTCTGATGGCTCTAGCTTGTACCCACCTTGTCTACACTCTGGACCGTCCTCCTTGTCTCAGTGTCTGATGGTTCCAGCTGTACCCACCTTGTCTACACTGGACAGCCCTCCTTGTCTCAGTGTCTGATGGCTCCAGCTGTACCCACCTTGTCTACACTCTGGACCGTCCTCCTTGTCTCAGTGTCTGATGGCTCCAGCTGTACCCACCTTGCCCACTCATTGGACAGTCCTCCTTATCTCAGTGTCTGATGGCTCTAGCTGTACCCACCTTGTCCACACTCTGGACAGTCCTCCTTGTCTCAGTGTCTGATGGCTCCAGCTTGTACCAACCTTGCCCACTCTTTGGACAGTCCTCCTTGTCTCAAGTGTCTGATGGCTCTAGTTGTACCCACCTTGCCCACTCTTTGGACAGTCCTCCTTGTCTCAGTGTCTGATGGCTCCAGCTTGTACCAACCTTGCCCACTCTTTGGACAGTCCTCCTTGTCTCAGTGTCTGATGGTTCCAGCTTGTACCCACCTTGCCCACACTCTGGAAAGTCCTCCTTGTCTCAGTGTCTGATGGCTCCAGCTGTACCCACCTTGTCCTCACTCTGGACAGTCCTCCTTGTCTCAGTGTCTGATGGCTCCAGCTTGTACCAACCTTGCCCACTCTTTGGACAGTCCTCCTTGTCTCAAGTGTCTGATGGCTCTAGCTGTACCCACCTTGCCCACTCTTTGGACAGTCCTCCTTGTCTCAGTGTCTGATGGCTCTAGCTTGTACCAACCTTGCCCACTCTTTGGACAGTCCTCCTTGTCTCAGTGTCTGATGGCTCCAGCTTGTACCAACCTTGCCCACACTCTGGACAGTCCTCCTTGTCTCAGTGTCTGATGGCTCTAGCTGTACCCACCTTGTCCTCACTCTGGACAGTCATCCTTGTCTCAGTGTCTGATGGCTCCAGCTTGTACCAACCTTGCCCACTCTTTGGACAGTCCTCCTTGTCTCAAGTGTCTGATGGCTCTAGCTGTACCCACCTTGCCCACTCTTTGGACAGTCCTCCTTGTCTCAGTGTCTGATGGCTCCAGCTTGTACCAACCTTGCCCACTCATTGGACAGTCCTCCTTGTCTCAGTGTCTGATGGCTCCAGCTGTACCCACCTTGCCCACTCTTTGGACAGTCCTCCTTGTCTCAGTGTCTGATGGCTCCAGCTTGTACCAACCTTGCCCACTCATTGGACAGTCCTCCTTGTCTCAGTATCTGATGGCTCTAGCTTGTACCAACCTTGCCCACTCATTGGACAGCCCTCCTTGTCTCAGTGTCTGATGGCTCCAGCTTGTACCAACCTTGCCCACTCTTTGGACAGTCCTCCTTGTCTCAGTGTCTGATGGCTCCAGCTTGTACCAACCTTGCCCACACTCTGGACAGTCCTCCTTGTCTCAGTGTCTGATGGCTCCAGCTGTACCCACCTTGTCCTCACTCTGGACAGTCCTCCTTGTCTCAGTGTCTGATGGCTCCAGCTTGTACCAACCTTGCCCACTCTTTGGACAGTCCTCCTTGTCTCAAGTGTTTGATGGCTCTAGCTGTACCCACCTTGCCCACTCTTTGGACAGTCCTCCTTGTCTCAGTGTCTGATGGCTCCAGCTTGTACCAACCTTGCCCACTCATTGGACAGTCCTCCTTGTCTCAGTGTCTGATGGCTCTAGCTTGTACCAACCTTGCCCACTCATTGGACAGTCCTCCTTGTCTCAGTGTCTGATGGCTCCAGCTGTACCCACCTTGCCCACTCTTTGGACAGTCATCCTTGTCTCAGTGTCTGATGGCTCCAGCTTGTACCAACCTTGCCCACTCATTGGACAGTCCTCCTTGTCTCAGTGTCTGATGGCTCCAGCTTGTACCAACCTTGCCCACTCTTTGGACAGTCCTTCTTGTCTCAAGTGTCTGATGGCTCTAGCTGTACCCACCTTGCCCACTCTTTGGACAGTCCTCCTTGTCTCAGTGTCTGATGGCTCCAGCTGTACCCACCTTGTCCACACTGGACAGTCCTTCTTGTTTCAGTGTCTGATGGCTCTAGCTGTACCCACCTTGTCCACACTCTGGACAGTCCTCCTTGTCTCAGTGTCTGATGGCTCCAGCTGTACCCACCTTGTCCACACACTGGACAGTCCTTCTTGTCTCAGTGTCTGATGGCTCCAGCTGTACCCACCTTGTCCACTCTTTCGACAGTCCTTCTTGTCCCAGTGTCAGATGTCTCTGATGTGACCATGTCTGTACGTGAGCGCGTCACAATTGCCCGACCGAGCGTGTCATTCTCTGTCAGGGTGTCTTCCTCACTGTACAACACATACATAGTGTAGCGTGACAACATACAATGCATGTAGAATGTACACAAACAAATATGCTTAGAAGAAAGATTCTACCTTTTAATCTGTCAAACCGTATAGCCTTAATCTATTGTATATAAATATATGTATTTTCTATGAATTCATAAAGTTATGAATAAATGATACAACAGTCATAAAAAAAAAGATGTTCATTATTATTGCTATTGAGGGTTAACATTCTCATATATTTTTCTATTTCTCTAGGAGTTTATGAGTAATCTCCCCTTGATCAACCATTGCAATATTCAATAAACAGAGACAGTTGTTGTCAACACTGGACATAATTTGAAATAATATAAGAGATAAAACTGTTGCTTACGTGGTAAGATTGTCTGATATTTCCTCCCACCCCTCCTCATTGAAGTCGGAGAACATGGCCTTCATCTTCTCAATGCTCTTGTTCAAACTGGCTTGATACTGAAAAGATAACCAATGACTTGAACTTTCCTCCAAGAGCACCAATATGTCAGGGTAACCTTTAGGTAAATGTAGACATCACAAAACTGGTAAAGGAATCTAACCTATATGTGTTGCTATGAATAAATTGTCCCACAATTCTGTTACAAACCTTCTTGGTTGTCCTGCCACGCCTGCGTATACGTGACACTGGTACACTGGGTGTTGGCCTGGTGTTTGGTCGGGACTCGGAGCAGCTGTCGGAGAGGGGTACAGACGCCTCCCGACTGGTCTGGAGCCGACTGGACTCCTCAACCTCTCGCTCAAGCCTTGAACACAATTTTGAACATTATTTAAATATCAAACAATAGCTATCACGGTTTACAATTCTAAGAATATTACCTCTATTAAATCATAGCCAATATTCCTGTATTTTAGCTAACATCACACTAAATAAATCCTTAGATTTTCAAGAGACATCCTCTTCACTGTCAGCTATCCCAACCAGTTGTGACACACACTGTACATCATGCAAATACATTTGCACACAGTGCGAAAACATCACTTATATTCAATCACAATATTCACTAGATGTAGATCGATTCGGGAGGTCGAAAGGATTACTTCCTGATGTAATCGAGGTAGTATTCTTAGAATTATACACAACTATTGTTTGATAACCCCTTCGAATACCCAACCACAATTACATTATAACCGGAATACACTAGAGCATTTTGTAGGATCTTGCATAAAGTAATGCAGCTGACATTAATGACTATAAGAATACAAAACAATGTAAAGAAAATGCGGAATACTTTGATAGTTTCAATGTAAATACCGTGATATTTAGCATCTTCATCTTCAGAATAAAGTGACACTTTCCTGTTGTGTGCAATTTGCACAATGTACGGTTTACCTGACAACTGATTTGGAGGGCTGACAGTGAAGAGGAACTCTGTTGAAAATCTAAGGATTTATTAAGAGTGATTGTGATGTAATCGAGGTAGAGTGTTTGAAGGACTTGTATAAGTACTTGTCCAACAGTCTAACACTTCAGGCAAATCAGGCATGGTATGCCCCTCTGTAGGACTGCATATCAAACATACCTGTGTATGTCCTTCTTCAAATTGGCAATTTCAATTCTCTGCTGGGATGATTCCTTGTTGATCATAAGCACAGTACTCTTTAACTGTCTTCAAAATTAACAAAAAAGGTGATTAAAGCACAGATTTTAATTGATGACAACAAAGTCAACATGGCAACAAATTATAGATTATATTTCCCTCTCAAATGACATGGAACATCCTGATCTCTTGGTGCAAGACTAACATGATTCATCAAAAAAGACAATAACCTGGGATTCTAGATTTCAAGTTGGCATCCAATATCATGCATTCTCATCACGTTTACCTCAGAAAGAATCATTTCTGAAGTTAGCCTTTTGCTGTCATGGTTTATAGTTCATAAATATTCTAAACATCAAACAATAGTTATCATTGTGTATAATTCTAAGAATACTACCTCTATTACATCATAGCCACAAATTCCCATTTTGGCAATAATCACACTATAAAATCTTTAGATTTTTCGACAGACGTCCTCATCACTGCCAATTATCCCATAGTCTTGAGGTAAACCCTATCCCTTGTCAAACTGCATCTGCGTGTGCGCAAGGCGGGAAAACATCACTTCTTTCCAATAACCTTCATCGACCAGATGTAAGATATATTGGGGAGGTGGGAGGGACTATTTCCTGATGTAATAGAGGTAGTATTCTTAGAATTATACACAATGATAACTATTGTTTGATAATTCCTGCGAATATCCTACCTCTATTACATCATAGCCAGTATTTACCAGAGGGACAGTTGGGATCTTGTCATCTAGTACTCCCGGATAATTGGCAGCATTAAATTAAGGGAAACACATAGGCATAACGGGGTATGACTCAATGCCAGACCTCCTGATTTCACCCTTGGCAAACCTGCAGAAGACTTGGCACTTGTGGCGTCCTTCCTGTTTAATGATCTCATGATTGTTACCTGTTTTTGGTGGATATTTGACCTTATTTATATGATTCCCTCTCCGGTTAATGACCTTTCTGACGTCACTTCCGGTTCTGAGAGCATTTATGATGACACTATTGGTTCATTCTCCTGTGACATCACTTGGGTCGTTATGACGTCACTTCGGGTTCTGAGGTCATCTATGACGTCACTTCCGGTTCATATGTCATTGTGACGTATCTATATACTTGTTGCTCTATAGCCAACAAGCATACTTACTTATCTCACCTCAGGTATGATAATGACGTACTTTTACGCTGATGACGTGTTTCCCTTTATATATTGGTGATAAAACGTACACTTTTACGTAATTCCGGTTCTGAAGTCTTCCCCGACAACACCTCCGGTAGTTATACAGGTTACGCCAAGCGACTAACAACCCTATCACCTTATGATCTATGATCCCAGATGTTAGCCAATGATCTGTCCAACCCAGTTGACATAATGTAAAGGCTAACTTACCTTATTTTGAGGTACTTCTGGGGATCTTCACAACCCCCACCCCCCCACCCCCCCTCTAACTTCCACAGAACAGGGGATGGATAGGCTACTGAGTGACCCCCCAGGGAGTATAGTCCCTCTAGATCATGTTGTACGTCTCGTAGGTAGAAATGAGTAAACGTATTGTGGGATCTCCATTGACAGCTTGATACCACTTGTTCGATGGAAACTGAATTCCATGAGGCCAGACTTGTTGCTAGAGCACGGATTTCATGAGCCTTGCAACTTCCCCATTTTGGTGTAGAGCTGGGCTTGACGATATTTATCAGATATAGTGTTCTTAAGCCATCCGGCCACAGTAATGTCCTTTTCTGACGAAGGCTTGCAATAGATAAAGATCCGTTTTCTTTTCCTCCTGTGGTTCTGAGTAGCTGAAATGTAGTATCTCAGAGCTCTGATGGGGCATAATAGTCTATCTGGATGATCAACTGTTTTACTCAATGATGGGATAGAGTATTGTCTATGTCCTAGAGGCCCAAACGCTGATGCCTGGTTTTTGGCGATAAATTCTGGTAGTGATCTGAAAGATATTTTGCTCCAATCTTGTGAATGCGTAATAGATGAGATATCAATAGCGTGAAGCTCAGACACTCTAGCAGCTGAAGCTAACGCTAAGAGGAAGGCAGTCTTTTTGGAAACTGTTAAAAGTGTAGCCTCTGCCATTGGTTCATATGGGGCTTCCATCAGTGCAGACAGAATGATGGATAAATTCCATTTAGGGAAAGTGCGTGGGATTTTAATGTCTTCCAGTGAAAACGATTTCATGAGTCGATTTAATACTGGGTGACATCCTATGGATAAACCATCATGTTGTAGAACTGAGGCTAATGCTGATCTATACCCTTCAATTCTACCATGTCTGAACCCTTTCTCATTTCTCAGGTGAAGAAGAAAATCAGCCACTATAGGTATTGTTATATTTTCGTCACGCAACCCTCTTTCTATTCGCCACTGGCAGAACTTTCTCCATCTGACGTTATAGATAGCTGAGGAAGCTGGTCTCCATGAGCTAGCCACCGCATCTGAAGCTGATTTAGAAACACCGGAAACTTCCATCTTTTTCGCGATAGTTTCCAGGTGTGAAGGTGGAGATTTGTCAGGTTGCCGTAAAATATGTCCGATTTTGGTTGGCGGAGGAGATTGTGACGTTCTTGCAGTCTGAGCGGCTCTTCTATGAGAAGTGGAATCAGTCTTGGATACCCCGCTCTGTTGGGCCACGCTGGGGCTATCAGAATTATGACGCAATCTGTGTCCTCGATCTTCCTTGTTACTCTGTCCAGGAGAGACCAAGGAGGGAAAGCGTAGGCAAACATCCCTTGCCAACTCATTGATAGGGCGTCCACCTGAAGGGCTAATGGATCTGGGACTGGGCTGACGTAAACAGGAAGTGGATGATTTAGGCATGTGGGAAACAATCTAGGTGAGGGGTATCCCGCGTCAAGGTTATCCACTTGAATACCTCCGGGTGGAGAGTCCATTCCGTGGGTACTGACGAATGGTGTAGTAGGTTAGCCCATGCCTTCATTGCTTGGACAATAGCTCTCATTTCCAGGCAATTTATGTGTAATTTTTTGTCTTGATCTGACCACATTCCTTGGATTGTGACCTCGTCCATATGTGCGCCCCAACCTTCGCCTGATGCGTCTGTATATAGGTGGTGTAATGGTGGGGGGAACATGAGAGGGATGCCTGGCATAACGAGATCACTCTGAATCTTTTCTATAGCTCTCAGATATCTGTCCTCTGGAGGTTGTAAAATGCTTTGTGAAAGTTGAAACCTCGCCCCTATGTACACAATGTCTTGGGTTGGTATTAATTCTGACTTGACAGGATGTACCAGGAAACCCAGGTGAGATAGAAGTTGGATCAGAAATATTGCGTTCTGCTTTATCTGCAATAGTTCTTGATCGGCTGAGAGGAAATCGTCTATATAGCCGTGGAATCTTACAAGATTTAGATGAGCGAAGCCGATGATGGGGGTGATAATCCGAGTAAAAAGCCAAGGTGCTATTGATATTCCGAATGGAAACACGTTGAATTCGAAACCTTTGACTGTTTACTGCAAAGCGTAGGTAGGGTCGACAACTCGGGTGAATAGGTACATGCAGGTAGGCATCCTGTAGGTCCAGACTGACTAGCCAATCTCCTAGTTTGAGGGAATTACATAACTTCTTTACTGATTCCATTTGAAACTTTGGTGGACGTACTAGGTAATCTCTGTTGAGTACCTTTAGGTCTATTATCATGCGCATCTTTGTAGAGTTCTTTTTGGGGACCAGAAAAACTGGAGAGTAAAACCCTTTTGTAGTATCTGCCTTTTGTAAGATGCTGATGGCCCCTTAGACTAACATTTAGTCTCTGAAATCTTATATTACACAATATCCTTCTTGACTCTAAAAATAAAAAAATTTCCCTATGCTGATTTCAGAATAGAGCTAGCTTGAGCTGGCTAGACTTGCTTTTGTATGCATTTCTAGATTATTATTTTTTCATAAAATAAATATATTCCACGGTCATGGTGCAGGACTAATGGCCCCTTTGTCTAGTAGTTCTTGTATTGCCAGAGTTGCGGCCGCTAACTTGGTCCCTACTAGATAAAAACGTTGTCCTTTGGGGTGGACTACAAGCTCCGGACACTATTGGAAATGGAGTTTGTACCCTCTTTTTACCACTTCGATCAGCCAAGGGTCGTCCGTAATTGACTTCCAATTTTTGGCGCATAGTGACAGACGACCGCCGACTGGTCCCGCAGTAGGCGTTAAGGTGAACTTGGGTAACCGGTAATCAAGGTCTATTAACATAGCAAGGTCGACAGGGTTTGGCTGAGAGATTCTTGGGTGTAGAGAGTCACGAACGGCGGTTACCTCTACCTCTGGTATAGGATAGACCATGACCTCTGCTTCTTTGGGACTCATGCCTCCCTCGGCTTGGTCTGGAACGGGATGAGTTTTTCCAAGTGGAGGCACGAAAAGACTCACGTCCTGACATAACACGGATCCGTGTGCCTCTGGGTGTTGGCCGACCACTTTTCATTAAGCTTAGATGCCAATGATAAAGTGGAGTTTTGGAATCTCTGATTAGTGGTGCGTGAAATTTCATCGATCACAGAGGTTAGTCTGCCGTTGAAGAACTGGGGCGCCAATATCGACTGAGACATCAAACTTCGTCTTAGTGGATCTGAAATATTGTGTCTAACCTGTTGAATAAGATGATTCCGTTGAATAAGCAGGAATTGTGTGGACATCCATACCTGTGCAGATTGCAGATCTTTGTGCATCTTCAGTATGTTATCCAGCACACTATGAAAGAAAACCAACTTGTTCCAAATTTCATCTCAACTTTTGTGTCACAAGGTTGGCCAGTAAATTCCTCACAGTTAACAGGGGGAAGTACATGTCTGATGCCTGCTGCAAACCAGTTCATATATGTGCTAATATTTAACATCTGCTTGTTAACACTGTCAAAATCTCTGAATTTGCTCATCTCAACATTCATCCTGGTATTAAGGTGTCTGACCAGTTCAAAATATTCATCATCAATGGTAGGAGATGTGGGGAATGGACAATTGTGGGTCTTATAACAATGACTCCCTTTGTGAGGAACAGGCATGCTAAAGGCATTTAAATCAGCATTCATTTTTGTGACCACATTTTCAATGAAAGATATGGAAATGTATGAAAACCTTCCCTCTTTTCAACAGGATTTTCATAACCAGCCCTTTCAATAAGCACCGGATCCTCTGCCTCCTTGCTTGGGGGCTTTACAGATGGGATCAATTGATGGATTTCATAGATGATATCTCTAAACGAGTAGTCGTTTGGTTGAACGTGAGCGTACTATTCGTATCCCCCTGAGAAGCGTACGTTCAATATTGAAAAGCGCCAGTAATATCCTCTCGGTCGTACCCCACCCCCCCCCCCCCCCCCCCCCGGGCTCTTGCCACTGGGGTGAAACGGCATCACGTGGTGTATGGCTATCTCTCTGCTGCGATTTCTGGCTCGAGCTGCACGAGGATTTTGCTGTATAACTAGCATAGCTAGGTGATGCATAACTGTCCGACCTATAGACTCGATTCTCACGTGTGACTGTAGCTGAAGGAGCACGCTTTGTATAATAGGAACTCTTAGCACGATTTTCCTCACTGTAGGGCGTGTAAGATTGATATGTCCGCCTGGAAGAATGGTGTTTATTTCTGTGAGATTCTCGTGCTACAGGTTTCTTTTCCCGAGTAGCACAGGATGAGATAGTGCTATCATGACTACTTTCCCTAGATACAACGTGTCTTTTGTCCTGTGAACTTTCTGACCTGTGACGATGTAAATAGGACTTTTGTTTGCTATCTGAATCATGTGACCTAGATCTTGTCGTATTTTTCAGATCTGCATGTTGTTTTAGTTTATTTATATCCTGTGATATTGCTTGGAAACATTTGTCAAACATTTCGGACATGGATGTTGTCAGCGATTAAGGCCATTCAGTCATACTCAAGGGGGAGAATGGAATAGATTTGGGCTGGATGCCTGCTCCTTAGTTTTGGGCGGGTGGGTTGAGAAACGTGATTTTCCCTCAAAAGCAAAAAAACGGGTTCTCTTTATACATCACCTCTTTTGAGCCCGTGTGTTTCTCTAAGGAAGTCAATTTACCTGAGACACAACACTTTTCCACATTTAATTTAGATTTAGTTTTGGTTTTTCGGAGAGAACGATGCATATTTTTTGTCCGATGATCTTGTCTTCCTCCTGGATTTTGATTTGGGACAATTTAAGGCTTTATAAAGCTTGGAAAATTTTTCTTTTGACAAATCCTTGCAGTACGTGCATCGTGCACATGCTCTTTCTACAAGTACTACATCTAGGGTGAGGGTCCTCGATCGCTTGATCAATTCCACACCCCGAGCAGACTTCCGATGACGGTAGTGGGGAGGCATCCATACCCCACAATATGTAAACTAAATCTACCTACTTACGTCAATGATCTTGCTTCTTATACCACCATTTCAGCAATCTTGACTGACGAAGGTCGTCTGCTGCAAAACTTGACGATCGTAGATTGTCTGCTATATCCAATGATGATCGTTGGTTGACTATTGTAATCTTTTTAGATTTATACTAGCTGTGAATAATTATTATTAACCGAAAAACGTGTATGGATTGATGAGCAATAACTTTGCTTGTTGATCCAACACACACGGGAAAGAAGTGATGTTTTCCCGCCTTGCGCATGGGCAGATGCAGTTTGACAAGGGATAGGGTTTACCTCAAGACTATGGGATAATTGGCAGTGAAGAGGACGTCTGTCGAAAAATCTAAAGATTTTATAGTGTGATTATTGCCAAAATGGGAATTTGTGGCTATGATGTAATAGAGGTAGGATATTAGCAGGAATTATATAAGTATGACATCACATTGCTTCAGCTGCTTTTTAATCAGCTTTGAGAAATCTGTCTCTAACCTCTCTGTAAGACAACCTACCTCTTCTCCTCCAGCAGTCTGTCCCTCTCCACAGTCACTTCCTGTAGCTGTTTCTCCAATTTCTCCAAAACAGCATCCTTATTCTGTACCTGCAAATATCAAAGCCCCTGAATGAAGATTAAACACTAGGATGGTGATGGTTAGAGGGCATACAACAGACAGTCTAGAACCCACAACTTTGAACTGGCTCAGCTGTACATCATATGATGTAGGAAGTGACGCCTTGTAACAGTGGCAGCCAAGAGGTAGTGTATGTACCAACTCACAGAAGACTTGAGGATCGTGACCTCTGATGACATGTCTGTTTTGGCTTTATGTTCGTACTCCCTCTTCTTCTCTTGGAAGTCAACATCTGTGAAACAAGACAACAACAGTGAGGAGTACACTTACAACAAGACAACAGTACTGAGGAGTACACTGACAACAAGGCAGCAACACTGAGGAGTACACTGACAACAAGACAACAACAGTACTGAGGAGTACACTGACAACAAGACAACAACACTGAGGAGTACACTGACAACAAGACAACAACAGTACTGAGGAGTACACTGACAACAAGGCAGCAGTACTGAGGAGTACACTGACAACAAGGCAGCAGCACTGAGGAGTACACTGACAACAAGACAACAACACTGAGGAGTACACTTACAACAAGACAGCAGTACTGAGGAGTACACTTACAACAAGGCAGCAGTACTGAGGAGTACACTTACAACAAGACAGCAACACTGAGGAGTACACTTACAACAAGACAGCAGTACTGAGGAGTACACTTACAACAAGACAACAACACTGAGGAGTACACTTACAACATGACAGCAACACTGAGGAGTACACTGACAACAAGGCAGCAGCACTGAGGAGTACACTTACAAGACAGCAACACTGAGGAGTACACTTACAACAAGACAGCAGCACTGAGGAGTACACTTACAACAAGACAGCAGTACTGAGGAGTACACTAACAACAAGACAACAACACTGAGGAGTACACTTACAACATGACAGCAACACTGAGGAGTACACTGACAACAAGGCAGCAGCACTGAGGAGTACACTTACAAGACAGCAACACTGAGGAGTACACTTACAACAAGACAGCAGCACTGAGGAGTACACTTACAACAAGACAGCAACACTGAGGAGTACACTTACAAGACAGCAGCACTGAGGAGTACACTTACAACAAGACAGCAGTACTGAGGAGTACACTTACAACAAGACAGCAACACTGAGGAGTACACTGACAACAAGGCAGCAGCACTGAGGAGTACACTTACAACAAGACAGCAGTACTGAGGAGTACACTGACAACAAGACAGCAGCACTGAGGAGTACACTTACAAGACAGCAGCACTGAGGAGTACACTGACAACAAGGCAGCAGCACTGAGGAGTACACTGACAACAAGACAGCAACACTGAGGAGTACACTGACAACAAGGCAGCAACACTGAGGAGTACACTGACAACAAGGCAGCAGCACTGAGGAGTACACTTACAACAAGACAGCAGTACTGAGGAGTACACTTACAACAAGACAACAACACTGAGGAGTACACTTACAACAAGGCAGCAGCACTGAGGAGTACATTGACAACAAGGCAGCAGTACTGAGGAGTACACTTACAACAAGACAGCAACACTGAGGAGTACACTTACAACAAGACAGCAGCACTGAGGAGTACACTTACAACAAGGCAGCAACACTGAGGAGTACACTGACAACAAGGCAGCAGCACTGAGGAGTACACTTACAACAAGACAGCAGCACTGAGGAGTACACTTACAACAAGGCAGCAACACTGAGGAGTACACTGACAACAAGGCAGCAGCACTGAGGAGTACACTTACAACAAGACAGCAGTACTGAGGAGTACACTTACAAGACAGCAGCACTGAGGAGTACACTTACAACAAGACAGCAGCACTGAGGAGTACACTTACAACAAGACAGCAACACTGAGGAGTACACTTACAAGACAGCAGCACTGAGGAGTACACTTACAACAAGACAGCAGTACTGAGGAGTACACTTACAACAAGACAGCAACACTGAGGAGTACACTGACAACAAGGCAGCAGCACTGAGGAGTACACTTACAACAAGACAGCAGTACTGAGGAGTACACTGACAACAAGACAGCAGCACTGAGGAGTACACTGACAACAAGGCAGCAGCACTGAGGAGTACACTGACAACAAGACAGCAACACTGAGGAGTACACTGACAACAAGACAGCAACACTGAGGAGTACACTGACAACAAGACAGCAGTACTGAGGAGTACACTTACAACAAGACAGCAACACTGAGGAGTACACTGACAACAAGGCAGCAGCACTGAGGAGTACACTTACAAGACAGCAGCACTGAGGAGTACACTTACAACAAGGCAGCAACACTGAGGAGTACACTGACAACAAGGCAGCAACACTGAGGAGTACACTGACAACAAGGCAGCAGCACTTAGGAGTACACTTGCAACAAGGCAGCAACACTGAGGAGTACACTTGCAACAAGACAGCAACACTGAGGAGTACACTTGCAACAAGGCAGCAACACTGAGGAGTACACTGACAACAAGGCAGCAACACTGAGGAGTACACTTGCAACAAAACTGTCCCATCCTGAACCTCACATCAACTGCTACATCCCAAGTTGATATGATGAGATAGGGTCTGTTGAGGTGAGCTTGCACATTAACGGGCATTTCAAGTATTTAGAGAATTACCTTCGTAGGCCTGTTCCAGCTTTAAGTTAAGTTCATGGACGAGGGCAGCATCCTGAGCAGCCTGCACTCTGAACATGTCCAGCTCCTCCTGCATCGCCATCCTGCGGTCAAACATCAAAGGGAACTTGTGAAAAGTCATCATGTCACCTTGTCCACCAAGTGAATAGTAATTGTTTGGTTATATTAACATCCTGTAAAGCCCTCATAATTTTTATTAAACTCTTAAATATTTTTAAAATCTTGCTTAATGTTTCTGCAATAATTCATCAACCCACATTTCAGTCAGAAGTTTGCGGTTTTCACTCTTGAAATGAGAGAGCTCATTCCAAACTTGGTCACTGTTCTCCTTCTGCAGTTCCCGGGGGTCAGAACGAGGAGGTTTGAGCTTCTTCTTGCCACTACAAACAGATTCCAGGACAGTTAGTACACAAGGGGAACAGGAGGCAGTTAAAGTGATATGCAACCAGCTACATACCTAGTGTAGTCAAACTCACATGTAACTCCAGGGTCACACTTCTCATGTGATCTTTCACCTCTGAACTGAGAGATCTGAGTACATGATTTGAGTAAAAATCACGTGAAATTAACATAGGAGATCGCTACTACTTGAATTTAATCTCAATCTAAATCAATGTCATCATTTGGAATAAAGTTCTCTGCATAGTTCTTTTGTAATACGTCTTAGATTCAAGGATAACTCAGCTGGCATAGCAGGTTGGGGTCTTAGATTCCTGGCATAGGTAGATGTCTTAGATTCAAGGATAACTCAGCTGGCATAGCAGGTTGGGGCCTTAGATTCCTGGCATAGGTAGATGTCTTAGATTCAAGGATAACTCAGCTGGCATAGCAGGTTGGGGCCTTAGATTCCTGGCATAGGTAGATGTCTTAGATTCAAGGATAACTCAGCTGGCATAGCAGGTTGGGGCCTTAGATTCCTGGCATAGGTAGATGTCTTAGATTCAAGGATAACTCAGCTGGCATAGCAGGTTGGGGCCTTAGATTCCTGGCATAGGTAGATGTCTTAGATTCAAGGATAACTCAGCTGGCATAGCAGGTTGGGGCCTTAGATTCCTGGCATAGGTAGATGTCTTAGATTCAAGGATAACTCAGCTGGCTTAGCAGGTTGGGGTCTTAGATTCCTGGCATAGGTAGATGTCTTAGATTCAAGGATAACTCAGCTGGCATAGCAGGTTGGGGCCTTAGATTCCTGGCATAGGTAGATGTTTTAGATTCAAGGATAACTCAGCTGGCTTAGCAGGTTGGGGTCTTAGATTCCTGGCATAGGTAGATGTCTTAGATTCAAGGATAACTCAGCTGGCTTAGCAGGTTGGGGTCTTAGATTCCTGGCATAGGTAGATGTCTTAGATTCAAGGATAACTCAGCTGGCATAGCAGGTTGGGGCCTTAGATTCCTGGCATAGGTAGATGTCTTAGATTCAAGGATAACTCAGCTGGCATAGCAGGTTGGGGCCTTAGATTCCTGGCATAGGTATATGTCTTAGATTCAAGGATTACTCAGCTGGCATAGCAGGTTGGGGCCTTAGATTCCTGGCATAGGTAGATGTCTTAGATTCAAGGATAACTCAGCTGGCTTAGCAGGTTGGGGTCTTAGATTCCTGGCATAGGTAGATGTCTTAGATTCAAGGATAACTCAGCTGGCATAGCAGGTTGGGGCCTTAGATTCCTGGCATAGGTAGATGTCTTAGATTCAAGGATAACTCAGCTGGCTTAGCAGGTTGGGGTCTTAGATTCCTGGCATAGGTAGATGTCTTAGATTCAAGGATAACTCAGCTGGCATAGCAGGTTGGGGCCTTAGATTCCTGGCATAGGTAGATGTCTTAGATTCAAGGATAACTCAGCTGGCATAGCAGGTTGGGGCCTTAGATTCCTGGCATAGGTAGATGTCTTAGATTCAAGGATAACTCAGCTGGCATAGCAGGTTGGGGCCTTAGATTCCTGGCATAGGTAGATGTCTTAGATTCAAGGATAACTCAGCTGGCATAGCAGGTTGGGGCCTTAGATTCCTGGCATAGGTAGATGTCTTAGATTCAAGGATAACTCAGCTGGCTTAGCAGGTTGGGGTCTTAGATTCCTGGCATAGGTAGATGTCTTAGATTCAAGGATAACTCAGCTGGCATAGCAGGTTGGGGCCTTAGATTCCTGGCATAGGTAGATGTCTTAGATTCAAGGATAACTCAGCTGGCATAGCAGGTTGGAGTCTTAGATTCCTGGCATTGGTAGATGTTTTAGATTCAAGGATAACTCAGCTGGCATAGCAGGTTGGGGCCTTAGATTCCTGGCATAGGTATATGTCTTAGATTCAAGGATAACTCAGCTGGCATAGCAGGTTGGGGCCTTAGATTCCTGGCATAGGTAGATGTCTTAGATTCAAGGATAACTCAGCTGGCATAGCAGGTTGGGGTCTTAGATTCCTGGCATAGGTAGATGTCTTAGATTCAAGGATAACTCAGCTGGCATAGCAGGTTGGGGCCTTAGATTCCTGGCATAGGTATATGTCTTAGATTCAAGGATAACTCAGCTGGCATAGCAGGTTGGGGCCTTAGATTCCTGGCATAGGTATATGTCTTAGATTCAAGGATAACTCAGCTGGCATAGCAGGTTGGGGCCTTAGATTCCTGGCATAGGTAGATGTCTTAGATTCAAGGATAACTCAGCTGGCATAGCAGGTTGGGGCCTTAGATTCCTGACATAGGTATATGTCTTAGATTCAAGGATAACTCAGCTGGCATAGCAGGTTGGGGCCTTAGATTCCTGGCATAGGTAGATGTCTTAGATTCAAGGATAACTCAGCTGGCATAGCAGGTTGGGCACATTTGAAAGGTACCACAATCAAGATATACACATGCACAAAAGTTAAGCGCCACCATATGCATAGTCACTTGATTTCATATGTGGAATCAGAAATACGAAATATGATGATGTAAGACTGAATTAGGCTTCCATAGTTTCATGAACCCAAATTTGTCCAGATACCACACGGAAAGCATGCTTTACATGTTGCTGCAGTTCCCCTACCCTATAAATAGTGAAATACAAGTTTCAGACACGTGGTTGCATTTTGCTCCTGTGTGAGATTCCCCTTCCAATAGAGGTTGAAAATCAGCCATGGTGAGGAGAAAGTTAAGGAACGCTGAAAGATGGCAAGTGATAGGCATGAAAAGGCATGCAGGGCCATTAAGAGGCAAATGGGTCATCATCACAGTGTTATCACTCGTTTGATTGTCAAACATGGTCAAACCAATGATGTCAATGACAGGCATAGGTCTGGTAGGCCAAGAAAGACCTCTAACAGAGAGGATAGATGTCTTTTCAGGATAGTCAGACGAATTCCATTTGCCACTTCAACAGGTTTAAGACTGCAGTGGATTACCCATCAGAGACTCTCGACGATGACCGTAAGGCGTCGCCTCAGAGCGGCTGGTTATAACCAGTAAAACGTCCTCAACTGACTGAGAGGCACATGCGGAATCGTTTGATATGGTGTCGTGCCAGTAGTCGATGGAACTTGGCCAACTGGAGAAGGATCGATTGGTCTGACAGGTGTCGAATGCTGCTACTAACTGTTGATGGTCGAATACCTGTTTGGAGGCAATGTAACACTCGTTTTGCACCAAGGAACATCCAGAAGACCTTAGCATGTGGCGGGGGGTCTGTCATGATATGGGGTTGTGTTTCCTTCGGCTGCAAACTTCCGCTGGTGACAATTCATGGAAACCTGAATGGCCAACAATACCAAGATGTCGTTCTTCCTCCAGTGGTAGCCCTCATTTTGACAACCATCCTCTTCAGACAAGACCTGGTTACATGGATGACAATGCTAGACCAAATAGATCTCGGGCAGTTTTGGCTTATTTGCATCAAGAAGCTATTGCCACTCTTCCTTGGCCGGCCTGTAGTCCAGATCTTAATCCGATTGAGCATCTCTGGGACATTCTTGGCCGAAAAATCAGACATCGTGATCCCCCAGTTCAAAATCTCGCTGGACTTGAAGACGCACTTCATGAAGAATGGATCCGTTTGCCTCAGAGAAGCATTCAACGACTTGTAATGAAAATGAGGCGTAGGGTTAAAGCTGTGGTCAATGTCCGTGGATCATACACACGTTACTGACGTTTCTGTCTTGCAATAGACTCTGCACTCCCTAGGGTGTCTATGTGACACCTGATATGGTCTGCTGATATCATGACAGTTACATGACAAAAAAAGTTTTTCAATGTTTTCTAATCCTTCAATTTCTGGTCTTCGGTAAAATTCCTTTCTGCTCATATTCTTTTTGAACACAAGATAAACTTGCTTTGGGACAACTTTTGCATCACATGAGGTTTACATATACGGCTTATAACAATCGTACATCTCGTTATAATAGTCATCATTAAGTGCCGAAAGTGGCGCTTAACTTTTGTGCATGTGTATATGTAAATGTACACATGCTGCCTTGGGTACATTTCGATATATAGAAATGTACACAGGGTACACTGCAAAGGTCACACCACAGTCAAGATATATCCCCATCAGAACTTATATACAATATGTAATGGTCTATTGACCAGTTGCAATATCAACAAGCAGGATAGAATTCAATGCTTCCATGATAGGTTGTTCTCTGTCCTAAACTTAAGATCATCCAATATCCAAAGAGAGTATTTGAAAGGTTGAGGAAACCATCACCACAAACCTCAATGAGTCATCCTCTAGTGTCTTCAGCTGCTCCTTCACAAGTCGGTAGCTGTTCTGGAGACTCCTCAGTCTGTCAAGTCGCTGGCCATGTGCCTTGCGCAGCTCCACCAGCTCTCGAGACTGAAACACAAAAACGTAACGTCCTTTGAATGAACATTTAGGTCTGAAGTCAAAACCTTTACCTATACTAAATTTTATTGTAAAATATAAGACAGCTATGCGATAAATCACAAAGAACGATGAAGGATGAAGAGTGGTTTATTTTACAATAAAACATTATTCTATCATGACGTCATTTCAGGAGATTCGAAGAAATGCTTGCAACTGGTTAGTTTTGAGAGGGAAGTCTCTAGTGAGTTGTTCACCATAGATGTAGCTGGGCAATGCATTAAACACAATGGCTGAATGATTGTATCCAAAAGTGGGAGAGATATGACGATCAGTATTGGGAGAATAGGTACAGGTAATCGATGTGAGGATTGTGAGAAGATGAGGGAAATACCAAACTTTACCCCCTGTTCATAAAATGGACTTGTCCAACATTACTGAGGTTAGATTCTATTCAGGGAGTCATCATTATTAAAATAATGGTAGATCTTTTTAAAGCTTGTACATTTTATCATCATCCTTAAAGAGGACGTACATGATGTTGATATCTCATAAAAGAAATAAACGATGAGTGGGAGTTATTGTTTTCTCTTTAATAATTAAGTAATTAAGTAAGATATAAGTCAACTCCAAATGATCATGCATTATAATCAACAATAGCTTTGAACAATCAGTCCTGAACATGTTTCTCTGAACATTATTTACATAATGCACATTGTGTGTCTGTCTCACCTTGAGTTCCAGGAGATGCTCTGAGTCGGCCAGCTTCCGCTTGAGGGTGCAGTAATGATGCTGACCATCTCGTGAGGCCGGAGACACTGACCGGGACCTGAGTCTGGGAGTATGTTGTGGGCTGCTGGTGCTGCGAACATCGCGGGACGGAGTGGAATGGGTCCGCTCATGTTTGTTGAGGCGTGACACATCAAACTCCAAAGATTGATCACCAAATTCCCTTATTATCCTTAAATGACATAAACATTCAACGTTCATGATTTTGTAAATTTGTATGCATGTGCATGATGTCTAAATATGTTGGTAATACTAAGGCTTCCTTCAGTGTCTAAGGACCTAACATCAAGTCATTAAACAATCTTCTACAGCATCTCTTACAGCAAGGGGAGATGGAAGAGGGAGACAGGTGGCAACTTACATCTCCTACAGCATGGAGAGATAGGAGAGAGAGACAGGTGGCGTGGCAATTATCTTCTCCTACAGCAAGGAGAGATGGAAGAGGGAGACAGGTGGCAACTTACATCTCCTACAACAGGGAGAGATAGGAGAGAGAGACAGATGGCGTGGCAACTTACATCTCCTACAGCAAGGAGAGATAGGAGAGAGAGACAGGTGGCAAATTTACATCTCCTACAGCAAGGAGAGATGGAAGAGGTAGACAGGTGGCAACTTGCATCTTCTACAGCAAGGAGAGATGGAAGAGAGAGACAGGTGGCAACTTGCATCTCCAACAGCAAGGAGAGATGGAAGAGGGAGACAGGTGGCAACTTACACCTCCTACAGCAAGGAGAGATGGAAGAGGGAGACAGGTGGTAACCTACATCTCCTACAACAGGGAGAGATAGGAGAGAGAGACAGATGGCGTGGCAACTTACATCGCCTACAGCAAGGAGAGATAGGAGAGAAAGACAGGTGGCGTGGCAATTATCTTCTCCTACAGCAAGGAGAGATGGAAGAGGGAGACAGGTGGCAACTTACATCTCCTACAACAGGGAGAGATAGGAGAGAGAGACAGATAGCGTGGCAACTTACATCTCCTACAGCAAGGAGAGATAGGAGAGAGAGATAGGTGGCAAATTTACATCTCCTACAGCAAGGAGAGATGGAAGAGGGAGACAGGTGGCAACCTGCATCTCCAACAGCAAGGAGAGATAGGAGAGAGAGACAGGTGGCAACTTGCATCTCCAACAGCAAGGAGAGATAGGAGAGAGAGACAGGTGGCAACTTGCATCTCCAACAGCAAGGAGAGATGGAAGAGGGAGACAGGTTGCAACTTACATCTCCTACAGCAAGGAGAGATGGAAGAGGGAGACAGGTGGGAAATTTACATCTCCTACAACAGGAAGAGATAGGAGAAAGAGACAGATGGCGTGGCAACTTACATGTCCTACAGCAAGGAGAGATGGAAGAGGGAGACAGGTGGTAACCACGTCTCCTACAGCAAGGAGAGATGGAAGAGGGAGACAGGTGGCAACTTACACCTCCAACAGCAAGGAGAGATGGAAGAGGGAGACAGGTGGCAACTTACACCTCCAACAGCAAGGAGAGATGGAAGAGGGAGACAGGTGGCAACTTACATCTCCTACAGCAAGGAGAGATGGAAGAGGGAGACAGGTGGTAACCTATGTCTCCTACAGCAAGGAGAGATGGAAGAGGGAGACAGATGGCAACTTACATCTCCTACAGCAAGGAGAGATGGAAGAGGGAGACAGGTGGCAACTTACATCTCCTACAGCAAGGAGAGATGGAAGAGGGAGACAGGTGGCAACTTACATCTCCTACAGCAAGGAGAGATGGAAGAGGGAGACTTACCTCTCCTTCTCCTGCAGCTTGAGTCGGAGAGAATCCATCTCCCTCTGCATTTCTTCCACTTTGTACTCCCAATCAACTACAGGGGACTCCATAGCCTGGAACATACAACTAAGAATGCATTACTATATGTATAATGAACATTTGCAGGTAATCCCTATATTAGTTAGTGTACATATGTGGACTTGCTTCGATCAAATCTTGGTATAAACTAGTTTGGTGACATTAAATGGAATACTTGAATATTGATAAAACAACCATTTTATCATATACATAGTTCAGTATCGAAAATAACATAATTTCATTCAAAACAATTATGTTTGCGTGGCATCAGTAGGAATGGGTGTTGAATTCTGACAATGTTCAACAATAGATCCCTGTGGTGAACATGAGCACAGTATGTCACTAGAAACCCATGTTTGTCAAAGAGCTGACTTTAATGAGGATATGATGGCTACAATGTGTCAACTGGCTAATTGTGCATCATCACGGTGTGGATAGCTGTTATCACTCATTGGTTTGCCATATTCATTTACATATTTATTTGCTTGTATTACAGCAAGAACATCGTTCACTCATACAGAACATGACTACAGCTATATGTTCCTGCAGAACATGGGTGACTATACAGAACGTGGGTGACTATAGCTGTATGTTCCTGCAGACCATGGAAGACTATAGCTGTATGTTCCTATAAAACATGGGAGACTAAAGCTGTATGTTCCTGCAGAACATGGGAGACTATAACTGTACATGGGTGAGTATAGCTGTATGTTCCTACAGAACATGGGTGAGTATAGCTGTATGTTCCTACAGAACATGGGTGAGTATAGCTGTATGTTCCTACAGAACATGGGTGAGTATAGCTGTATGTTCCTACAGAACATGGGTGAGTATAGCTGTATGTTCCTACAGAACATGGGAGACTAAAGCTGTATGTTCCTACAGAACATAGTTGACTATAGTTGTATATTCCTACAGAACATGGGTGAGTATAGCTGTATGTTCCTACAGAACATGGGTGAGTATAGCTGTATGTTCCTACAGAACATGGGTGAGTATAGCTGTATGTTCCTACAGAACATGGGAGACTAAAGCTGTATGTTCCTACAGAACATAGTTGACTATAGTTGTATATTCCTACAGAACATGGGTGAGTATAGCTGTATGTTCCTACAGAACATGGGTGAGTATAGCTGTATGTCCCTACAGAACATGGGTGAGTATAGCTGTATGTTCCTACAGAACATGGGAGACTATAGCTGTATGTCCCTACAGAACATGGGTGAGTATAGCTGTATGTTCCTATAGAACATGGGTGAGTATAGCTGTATGTTCCTACAGAACATGGGTGAGTATAGCTGTATGTTCCTACAGAACATGGGAGACTATAGCTGTATGTCCCTACAGAACATGGGTGAGTATAGCTGTATGTTCCTATAGAACATTGGTGAGTATAGCTGTATGTTCCTATAGAACATTGGTGAGTATAGCTGTATGTCCCTACAGAACATGGGTGAGTATAGCTGTATGTTCCTATAGAACATTGGTGAGTATAGCTGTATGTTCCTACAGAACATGGGTGAGTATAGCTGTATGTTCCTAAAGATCATGGGTGAGTATAGCAGGTTGTTCCCGCACATCATGGGTGAGTATAGCTGTATGTTCCTATAGAACATGGGAGACTATAGCTGTATGTCCCTACAGAACATGGGTGAGTATAGCTGTATGTTCCTATAGAACATGGGTGAGTATAGCTGTATGTTCCTACAGAACATGAGTGAGTATAGCTGTATGTTCCTATAGATCATGGGTGAGTATAGCAGGTTGTTCCCGCACATCATGGGTGAGTATAGCTGTATGTCCCTACAGAACATGGGTGAGTATAGCTGTATGTTCCTATAGAACATGGGTGAGTATAGCTGTATGTTCCTACAGAACATTGATGAGTATAGCTGTATGTTCCTAAAGAACGTGGGTGAGTATAGCTGTATGTTCCTATAGAACATGGGAGACTATAGTTGTCTGTTCCTATAGAACATGGGTGAGTATAGCTGTATGTTCCTAAAGAACGTGGGTGAGTATAGCTGTATGTCCCTACAGAACATGGGTGGGTATAGCTGTATGTTCCTATAGAACATGGGTGAGTATAGCTGTATGTCCCTACAGAACATGGGTGAGTATAGCTGTTTGTTCCTATAGAACATGGGAGACTATAGTTGTATGTTCCTATAGAACATGGGTGAGTATAGCTGTATGTTCCTATAGAACGTGGGTGACTATAACTGTTTGTTCCTATAGAACATGGGAGACTATAGTTGTATGTTCCTATAGAACATGGGTGAGTATAGCTGTATGTTCCTATAGAACGTGGGTGACTATAGCTGTTTGTTCCTATAGAACGTGGGTGACTATAGCTGTTTGTTCCTATAGAACATGGGTGAGTATAGCTGTTTGTTCCTATAGAACATGGGAGACTATAGCTGTATGTTCCTACAGAACATTGGAGACTACAGTTACATGAGATAACGCAGGCACACTGAGTCCGAGTAAGACCTTGCGAGTGTTCAGGTAGCTGCCCTCCAGGTCCCCACTGAGGGTCTTCCTAGTGGGGGACGGGTCCTTCAGCTGGCCAATCGGGTCATCCTTCTCCAGGGCATCCTACAACACCATTCCACTCTCACTAACAGAGTTGACTGGGCAGGTTAATATTGGTCAACTCTTGATCTCTATCATAGAACCCTGGGTCCCTTATGTAGTTACCGTTCAGATTAATTTCTGACAGTAAATACCAGATGAATGTCTGACACCATTGTTCATGTGATTTCAATGATTTGGTCAGATCATTCCTGTTTACGATGAAATGTGTACTTTTAACAAAACAATTTTTTCAAGTCTTCATTATCAAAGCTCCTCACCTTTACTTCTGAGAAATGCATTGTAAGATAAAACATGTGTTGTTATAGCCCTACAAAGACAAGATTCTATTCTCTGCTGATTCAACTGCACAAAACAGTTTACTGCATCTTTGAGCAGGCGTCAAGTAGTTGTGGAATGAAAGCCTGAACTGCTGTAGGTTTTAGATGTTTACTACTTTGGTGAAATCAATGAGCACACACATGTTGTTCACAAAAGATCATAATCGGTGGGACCTCCTCTGTAGGTCTAGTGGAAGGTCCTAGGTTCGATCCCAAGGTGCATCATACCAAATGATGGTCAAAGATGGTACTTGTTGTTACCCTGTCTGGTACTCAGCATTAACATAAGGACTGGTCGGCTCAGAGTTGGCATACTGTGTCTAAGTGGGGTATTCATGTTAATCTGAGGCATGATATATCAGTGGGCTAGCACTCTAAATCAGCATCAGTCCGGACTAGTGTACACACCTACGAACACACACGTACGTTGCTATATAAGTGCAATAATCTTTCATGCGAAGTTAAACCCCATTTCACCTCACCCCATACTCGGTGGGGAAACGGGATTTAAACTCACAATACTAAGATCCACACACACCTACGGGACTCAACGCTGCACAGCAAACTGCTGCACATAAGACCATTGGGCCATTTGTGAAGGAGATACATGGGGTATGTACATCAAAGGAAAATATCAACTTTATGTCACAGATTCAACTCACATACTACCCTAGCCTGCATAAAGCCTAAATCTCTGTTTCAAAAATCTGTAATGCTTAAAGGGCAAGTTCACAAGGAAATGAACCTATTTTTCGTGTACTTTTTCCACATTAAAAGTGTTAACCTAGTAGTGTCATAGACAAAAATATAAAAATATCACAATTAATTAACATATTTTTTGCATTAAAACGATTTATATTTTTCACATTTACCAAGTGTTCTATTTCCAGAACAAAAACACAATGGCTTATGCCCCTTGCAATATGACGTCATTGGTGCCGATTGATAAACAATATGACGTCATCATGCTTTGTTAGAGCCGCTTCACGTGGTGTAGGTACAGGTGTGTGATTCTAGCGTCTCAGATGCCAGTCAGCATAGTGTTATGCTGAGTCACCACTGCGCCGGAGTGTGTCGTAGGCCATTTTGTTTTACCGCAAACTGGTACTTGATATCTTTTGCGTTGAGAATAGACAGGGACCCAGTTGAATTGGCACCAATTACGTCATAATCTAAGGGGGATAACTCTGGCCTGTTTAGCTCGAAAAATGAAGGCCTCATAACGGCATAGCATTTTCACACTATTGTGAGCTTCCTACTTTCACTGTGAAAAAAATGAGTTTATATTTTCAAACACATATACTAACTCATTCTAAAATTGCGTTTTGTTTAGAAAAAGAAAGACATTTTTTGATTTTTGCGTGTACACTTCCCCTTTAAGCATATTGTTTCACGTTTAATCAATTAACACTGCAAACTGATTTTTGCAAAATGTGTCCAATAAATTGATCAATGTGAAGTGTGACAGATGTTTTGTCTTATGCTCCTCAGTTTACTCCCCTGCAGAAGAAACCTCTGAGGTCATGTCTACTTAAGGGCTGATGGCAGCACTCAGTAGTTTAGTCTCTTAAAACCCTTTCTTCCATAACACTATCATGTGACCATTAATTTTGTAGAAACCAATTTAATGCATTGATTTTGTTGAAAATGACTATCAAAATACATCTTTTTCCATTAAACTTTCACAAACTAGAAAATAAAGCTAATTCAATCAATAACAGAGATTAGATCAAATAAGACAATTGAAATTAAAAACCAGCCGGTCACATTCTCCATTAAATCATTTGAACCAGAGTGCATGAGGTGCAAAAACTAGCAAAGAGTTACAGAAAAATAAATAGATGCAAATTTTTGTCCAAACTGTTAAGATCTAAGAGTGACGTTACTGAGGGTGACCCAGGACTCCAAGGGGGGCAATGTCAAGCCCCACCCTCGTCAGCTAGTTGTCTCAGTGGCCATTGAGTCCACCACCACTCTCTTTGTAGGAGAGCCCAAGCAGGCCATTGTAGAGCAGGGTATCATCCATGGGGTGTAAATGAGACCTGGTGCTTGTGGATGTAGCCAGACACTCTTAATGTAACATCAAATAAGTTGGCAGTCAGATACCTCCATCACTGTCACCTTTTGATCAATACACATACAAATCGTTAGACATGTTCCCTCCTAGTCGTGTCGCTTGCTCCTTCCCCAGTCTAATTCACAGTCACATTGACAAGCCCGTTAGGAGATGTGCTGATTACAATTCTTTGTTTACTCAGTTTATGCTTGGTCCCAAGTGGTCGCTAGACGACTCTAACTAGCCAGCAGGGTTCTTTGACTTTTTGAGGAGGCAAAAATTGGACAACAAGTCAGCATGGGACTTATAATTCAATGACTGGAGCTGAGAATCAATACGGACACATATCGGTCTAATTGACACTGACAAAACCGCGGATGAGCTGGTCCTGATGCGTTGTGGATAATTTCCTTGTTCTTGACCTGGCGACCACCAACACCATCATGGTGACGCCTTGTCATATTACTCTGGGACTGACATTGGGAGAAACCGTGACAACAATGTAGACGAAATCGATGCCTCAGATTGTCTCTGTCGTTTAGCCTTTTTCAAGCATGGGCAAGGCATCAAAAATGTATACACTAATTTTGTGGTCTGTCTCCACATGACGCCTAAAGCCGTGTCGATATAATGACAAATAGTTAGAGGCGATAGCTTTCAAATTTCACTATGACAGGTGTTTGGGAGGCAGGCCTCTCGGGCCACAATGTGAGTGAGACAAGCGTCCATGTTCGTACCTTCCTAGCGTCACGTGACAAGGCCCATCAAGATATGATGAAGCATGTCCCCTGAGGATAAACTTGTCCACAAAGTCGAGAAAGACGATTTTCTTGTATTCCAGGGTTTTCTCAAGTTTTTCTTAGAGACCTGTGTAAATGAGATAGGCAGGTCCCCAGAGGATGGGAGGTAATCCTCCAGCTTTAACTTTTCATGACAACCCATTTCAAATCTAATAACACTTATCCACAGCCAATGCGAGATTGGCAGAGGTTCTGACCTTGATCAAACAATAATCCTAGGCATATCGGATGGTCTCATTATAGCACCTACAACTATATGTACAAAGGAATAATAGATGACATGCTGTGATGAGCTCCACCACCACTCTGCAGGGCAATCAAACATATCCCAGTGTTTATCATACAAATACTCCTAAAATCACACAAAGCCTCTTTTTATGATGTATTTTTAATGCATCATATGATCAGAGATTTAATACCTGGTAAAAAGTTCTCTAAAGAGTAAAACTGTGTTCTTGTATTTGTTGGGTAACACTGCGTGATGGCAGTCAAGTTGAGTCCACTTACTGTTAGATAATATGACAATAGTCAAGTCTATTCTAATCCCCAATTTGTATTTCTCAGATCATTTTACCTCTTTAAAATCTGAATATGTTTTCTCTCTTACTGCAGTAACATTTCTTTTTCAAAATAAGAGCCAGGGAATATTGCTCTGTTCAAGAAAAGAAAGGGATAAGAAGATTGTGTTTGAAGATCTACTACTGATGCAAGAAATCAAACAAGTCTGTGAAAATGACATGGTAGACACAAACAATGATTTCTCATGATAGTGTCTATGTTAATATCTTCAGGTGTGACATAACCTTGTGATGACAAATACATATCACATAAAAGAAAAAAGAAAAGAAAACTAAAGTCTTTTCAAACTACATGATAATGGCTATTGACTACCATGTGTGAAATGCGATCATCCTTAAATCCTCAAACAACAGTCTAAATGTCTTCAAGTAAATTACAACTGTTTTCAACAGGAGAGTTATGCAAGAATTGACAGTTGACAGTCAGGAAATACCAAAAGTAACAAACAGATGAGGTGTGAACAGTGAGTCTTCCCCATGCGTGGCGGTGGTTGGGCGGTGTGGGGGACCTGTGCGCTACTAATCAGGACACCTCCTACCAGGTTCACATGCTCGCGGCTCGCCAGTGTCCTCAGGGACCACAGCACAGGAAAACCAGGTGACAATTTGTCACCACCACCCAACTTCATAATTGACAGTAGTGTTTGGAAGAAATCAAGCATGGTTAACCAGACTGGCAATTAGCCCTACACATTCATGAGCAAAAACCTGTCATTCTCACTAGTCACACTAAGACATGTGTGACAGTGCCACCCTGCCACCATCATGTGAACACGAAAACGGCAAGTTTTCATGTGTACATTAGAAACTAAGAAGACTAAAATAACTACACAAAAAGCAACTTGATCTCCACCATAATGAGGTGAAATGTGTGGGACCACTAAGTCATGATAGCATGATACCACACAAGGTCATTCATTTAGAATTACTCTTTTCCTTCTCAATTTGTTGAGTTATGCTATAAAATGAAAACAAATGTTTTCTCGCATGTACAAGCTTATTTGTATGTTATAAAAATATGCATATTTTCCTAATTCATTATTTTCCAGTATAAGAGATGTCAGGCCTTAAAACAAGAGCAATATTTACTACTTTAAGTTATGTATCACTAAACTGGTTTCCACTCTGAGTGACAGACAGAAAATGTTGTGCTCATACCTGTTTTAAAGCAAGGATCTCCTTTCGAAGGCTTGTCTCTGTTCTCTGGCTGATCTCATAGCGGGAACTGAGGTCAGTATACATCTACAGCAAAGACACATAAGCATGGTGAAGATTTACAACATAAACACAGAAGCATGACTTCACCCATCACGGGACCCAAATACAACATAAACACAGAAACATGACTTAATGCATCCATCACGGGACCTGACTACAACATAAACACAGAAGCATGACTTCACCCATCACGGGACCCAACTACAACATAAACACAGAAACATGACTTAATGCACCCATCATGGGTTGGGTCCCATGATTGGTGAAGTCATGCTCCTGTGTTTATGTTGTAGTTGGGTCCCATGATGGGTGAAGTCATGTTTCTGTGTTTATGTTGTACTTGGGTCCCTTGATGGGTGAAGTCATGCTCCTGTGTTTATGTTGTAGTTGGGTCCCATGATGGGTGAAGTCATGTTTCTGTGTTTATGTTGTAGTTGGGTCCCGTGATGGGTGAAGTCATGTTTCTGCGTCTTTGTTGTAGTTGGGTCAACCTTCTGTGTTTATATTGTAGTTTGGTCCCTTAATGGGTGAAGTCATGTTTCTGTGTTTATGTTGTAGTTGGGTCCCGTGATGGGTGAAGCCATGTTTCAGTGTTTTTGTTGTAGTTGGGTCCCGTGATGGGTGAAGTCATGCTTCTGTGTTTATGTTGTAGTTTTTTCCCATGATAGGTGAAGTCATGCTTCTATGTTTTTGTTGTAGTTGGGTCCCTTGATGGGTGAAGTCATGCTTCTGTGTTTATGTTGTAGTTGGGTCCCGTGATTGGTGAAGTCATGTTTCTGCGTCTTTGTTGTAGTTGGGTCAACCTTCTGTGTTTATATTGTAGTTTGGTCCCTTAATGGGTGAAGTCATGTTTCAGTGTTTATGTTGTAGTTGGGTCCAATGATTGGTGAAGTCATGTTTCTGTGTTTATGTTGTAGTTGGGTCCTGTGATTGGTGAAGTCATTCTTCTATGTTTATGTTGTAGTTGGGTCCCATGATTGGTGAAGTCATGCTCCTGTGTTTATGTTGTAGTTGGGTCCCATGATGGGTGAAGTCATGTTTCTGTGTTTCTGTTGTACTTGGGTCCCTTGATGGGTGAAGTCATGTTTCTGTGTTTATGTTGTAGTTGGATCCCGTGATGGGTGAAGCCATGTTTCTGTGTTTATGTTGTAGTTGGGTCCCGTGATGGGTAAAGTCATGCTTCTGTGTTTATGTTGTAGTTTTGTCCCATGATAGGTGAAGTCATGCTTCTATGTTTTTGCTGTAGTTGGGTCCCGTGATGGGTGAAGTCATGCTTCTGTGTTTATGTTGTAGTTGGATCAACCTTCTGTGTTTATGTTGTAGTTGGGTCCCATGATTGGTGAAGTCATGTTTCTGTGTTTTTGTTCTAGTTGGGTCCCATGATTGGTGAAGTCATGTTTCTGTGTTTATGTTGTAGTTGGGTCCCGTGATGGGTGAAGTCATGTTTCTGCGTCTTTGTTGTAGTTGGGTCAACCTTCTGTGTTTATGTTGTAGATTGGTCCCTTGATGGGTAAAGTCATGTTTCTGTGTTTATGTTGTAGTTGGGTCCCATGATTGGTGAAGTAATGCTCCTGTGTTTATGTTGTAGTTGGGTTCCGTGATGGGTGAAGTCATGCTTCTGTGTTTTTGTTGTAGTTGGGTCCCGTGATGGGTGAAGTCATGTTTCTGTGTTTATGTTGTAGTTTTTTCCCATGATAGGTGAAGTCATGCTTCTATGTTTTTGTTGTAGTTGGGTCCCTTGATGGGTGAAGTCATGCTTCTGTGTTTATGTTGTAGTTGGGTCCCGTGATTGGTGAAGTCATGTTTCTGTGTTTATGTTGTAGTTGGGTCCCATGATGGGTGAAGTCATGCTCCTGTGTTTATGTTGTAGTTGGGTCCCATGATGGGTGAAGTCATGTTTCTGTGTTTATGTTGTAGTTGGGTCCCGTGATGGGTGAAGTCATGCTTCTGTGTTTATGTTGTAGTTGGGTCCCGTGATTGGTGAAGTCATGTTTCTGCGTCTTTGTTGTAGTTGGGTCAACCTTCTGTGTTTATATTGTAGTTTGGTCCCTTAATGGGTGAAGTCATGTTTCTGTGTTTATGTTGTAGTTGGGTCCCGTGATGGGTGAAGCCATGTTTCAGTGTTTTTGTTGTAGTTGGGTCCCGTGATGGGTGAAGTCATGCTTCTGTGTTTATGTTGTAGTTTTTTCCCATGATAGGTGAAGTCATGCTTCTATGTTTTTGTTGTAGTTGGGTCCCTTGATGGGTGAAGTCATGCTTCTGTGTTTATGTTGTAGTTGGGTCCCGTGATTGGTGAAGTCATGTTTCTGCGTCTTTGTTGTAGTTGGGTCAACCTTCTGTGTTTATATTGTAGTTTGGTCCCTTAATGGGTGAAGTCATGTTTCAGTGTTTATGTTGTAGTTGGGTCCAATGATTGGTGAAGTCATGTTTCTGTGTTTATGTTGTAGTTGGGTCCTGTGATTGGTGAAGTCATTCTTCTATGTTTATGTTGTAGTTGGGTCCCATGATTGGTGAAGTCATGCTCCTGTGTTTATGTTGTAGTTGGGTCCCATGATGGGTGAAGTCATGTTTCTGTGTTTCTGTTGTACTTGGGTCCCTTGATGGGTGAAGTCATGTTTCTGTGTTTATGTTGTAGTTGGATCCCGTGATGGGTGAAGCCATGTTTCTGTGTTTATGTTGTAGTTGGGTCCCGTGATGGGTAAAGTCATGCTTCTGTGTTTATGTTGTAGTTTTGTCCCATGATAGGTGAAGTCATGCTTCTATGTTTTTGCTGTAGTTGGGTCCCGTGATGGGTGAAGTCATGCTTCTGTGTTTATGTTGTAGTTGGATCAACCTTCTGTGTTTATGTTGTAGTTGGGTCCCATGATTGGTGAAGTCATGTTTCTGTGTTTTTGTTCTAGTTGGGTCCCATGATTGGTGAAGTCATGTTTCTGTGTTTATGTTGTAGTTGGGTCCCGTGATGGGTGAAGTCATGTTTCTGCGTCTTTGTTGTAGTTGGGTCAACCTTCTGTGTTTATGTTGTAGATTGGTCCCTTGATGGGTAAAGTCATGTTTCTGTGTTTATGTTGTAGTTGGGTCCCATGATTGGTGAAGTAATGCTCCTGTGTTTATGTTGTAGTTGGGTCCCGTGATGGGTGAAGTCATGCTTCTGTGTTTTTGTTGTAGTTGGGTCCCGTGATGGGTGAAGTCATGTTTCTGTGTTTATGTTGTAGTTTTTTCCCATGATAGGTGAAGTCATGCTTCTATGTTTTTGTTGTAGTTGGGTCCCTTGATGGGTGAAGTCATGCTTCTGTGTTTATGTTGTAGTTGGGTCCCGTGATTGGTGAAGTCATGTTTCTGCGTCGTTGTTGTAGTTGGGTCAACCTTCTGTGTTTATATTGTAGTTTGGTCCCTTAATGGGTGAAGTCATGTTTCAGTGTTTATGTTGTAGTTGGGTCCAATGATTGGTGAAGTCATGTTTCTGTGTTTATGTTGTAGTTGGGTCCTGTGATTGGTGAAGTCATTCTTCTATGTTTATGTTGTAGTTGGGTCCCATGATTGGTGAAGTCATGCTCCTGTGTTTATGTTGTAGTTGGGTCCCATGATGGGTGAAGTCATGTTTCTGTGTTTCTGTTGTACTTGGGTCCCTTGATGGGTGAAGTCATGTTTCTGTGTTTATGTTGTAGTTGGATCCCGTGATGGGTGAAGCCATGTTTCTGTGTTTATGTTGTAGTTGGGTCCCGTGATGGGTAAAGTCATGCTTCTGTGTTTATGTTGTAGTTTTGTCCCATGATAGGTGAAGTCATGCTTCTATGTTTTTGCTGTAGTTGGGTCCCGTGATGGGTGAAGTCATGCTTCTGTGTTTATGTTGTAGTTGGATCAACCTTCTGTGTTTATGTTGTAGTTGGGTCCCATGATTGGTGAAGCCATGTTTCTGTGTTTTTGTTCTAGTTGGGTCCCATGATTGGTGAAGTCATGTTTCTGTGTTTATGTTGTAGTTGGGTCCCGTGATGGGTGAAGTCATGTTTCTGCGTCTTTGTTGTAGTTGGGTCAACCTTCTGTGTTTATGTTGTAGATTGGTCCCTTGATGGGTAAAGTCATGTTTCTGTGTTTATGTTGTAGTTGGGTCCCATGATTGGTGAAGTAATGCTCCTGTGTTTATGTTGTAGTTGGGTCCCGTGATGGGTGAAGTCATGCTTCTGTGTTTTTGTTGTAGTTGGGTCCCGTGATGGGTGAAGTCATGTTTCTGTGTTTATGTTGTAGTTGGGTCCCGTGATTGGTGAAGTCATTCTTCTGTGTTTATGTTGTAGTTGGGTCCCATGATTGGTGAAGTCATGCTCCTGTGTTTATGTTGTAGTTGGGTCCCATGATGGGTGAAGTCATGTTTCTGTGTTTCTGTTGTACTTGGGTCCCTTGATGGGTGAAGTCACGCTTCTGTGTTTATGTTGTAGTTGGGTCCCGTGATGGGTAAAGTCATGCTTCTGTCTTATGTTGTAGTTGGGTCCTGTGATGGGTGAAGTCATTCTTCTGTGTTTATGTTGTAGTTGGATCAACATTCTGTGTTTATGTTGTAGTTAGGTCCCATAATGTGTGAAGTCATGTTTCTGTATTTTTATGTAGTTGGGTCCGGTGATGGGTAAAGTCATGTTTCTGTGTTTATGTTGTAGTTGGGTCCAATGATTGGTGAAGTCATGTTTCTGTGTTTATGTTGTAGTTGGGTCCCGTGATGGGTGAAGTCATTCTTCTATGTTTATGTTGTAGTTGGGTCCCATGATTGGTGAAGTCATGCTCCTGTGTTTATGTTGTAGTTGGGTCCCATGATGGGTGAAGTCATGTTTCTGTGTTTCTGTTGTACTTGGGTCCCTTGATGGGTGAAGTCATGTTTCTGTGTTTATGTTGTAGTTGGGTCCCGTGATGGGTGAAGTCATGCTTCTGTGTTTATGTTGTAGTTGGGTCCCGTCATGGTGAAGTCATGTTTCTGCGTCTTTGTTGTAGTTGGGTCAACCTTCTGTGTTGATGTTGTAGTTTGGTCCCTTGATGGGTGAAGTCATGTTTCTGTGTTTATGTTGTAGTTGGGTCCCATGATGGGTGAAGTCATGTTTCTGTGTTTATGTTGTAGTTGGGACCTGTGATTGGTGAAGTCATTCTTCTATGTTTATGTTGTAGTTGGGTCCCATGATTGGTGAAGTCATGCTCCTGTGTTTATGTTGTAGTTGGGTCCAATGATGGGTGAAGTCATGTTTCTGTGTTTCTGTTGTACTTGGGTCCCTTGATGGGTGAAGTCATGTTTCTGTGTTTATGTTGTAGTTGGGTCCTGTGATTGGTGAAGTCATTCTTCTATGTTTATGTTGTAGTTGGGTCCCATGATTGGTGAAGTCATGCTCCTGTGTTTATGTTGTAGTTGGGTCCCTTGATGGGTGAAGTCATGTTTCTGTGTTTATGTTGTAGTTGGGTCCTGTGATTGGTGAAGTCATTCTTCTATGTTTATGTTGTAGTTGGGTCCCATGATTGGTGAAGTCATGCTCCTGTGTTTATGTTGTAGTTGGGTCCAATGATGGGTGAAGTCATGTTTCTGTGTTTCTGTTGTACTTGGGTCCCTTGATGGGTGAAGTCATGTTTCTGTGTTTATGTTGTAGTTGGGTACCGTGATTGGTGAAATCATGTTTCTGTGTTTATGTTGTAGTTTGGTCCTATTATGGGTGAAGTCATGCTCCTGTGTTTATGTTGTAGTTTGGTCCTATAATGGGGGAAGTCATGATTCAGTGTTTATGTTGTAGTTTGGTCCCGTGATGGGTGAAGTCATGTTTCAGTGTTTATGTTGCAGTTGGGTGCCGTGATGGGTGAAGTCATGTTTCTGTGTTTATGTTGTAGTTGGGTCCCGTGATTGGTGAAGTCATTCTTCTATGTTTATGTTGTAGTTGGGTCCCATGATTGGTGAAGTGATGCTCCTGTGTTTATGTTGTACTTGGGTCCCATGATGGGTGAAGTCATGTTTCTGTGTTTCTGTTGTACTTGGGTCCCTTGATGGGTGAAGTCATGTTTCTGTGTTTATGTTGTAGTTGGGTCCCGTGATTGGTGAAGTCATTCTTCTATGTTTATGTTGTAGTTGGGTCCCATGATTGGTGAAGTGATGCTCCTGTGTTTATGTTGTACTTGGGTCCCATGATGGGTGAAGTCATGTTTCTGTGTTTCTGTTGTACTTGGGTCCCTTGATGGGTGAAGTCATGTTTCTGTGTTTATGTTGTAGTTGGGTCCCGTGATGGGTGAAGTCATGTTTCTGTGTTTATGTTGTAGTTGGGTCCCGTGATGGGTAAAGTCATGCTTCTGTGTTTATGTTGTAGTTTTGTCCCATGATAGGTGAAGTCATGCTTCTATGTTTTTGTTGTAGTTGGGTCCCGTGATGGGTGAAGTCATGTTTCTGTGTTTATGTTGTAGTTGGATCCCGTGATGGGTAAAGTCATGCTTCTGTGTTTATGTTGTAGTTTTGTCCCATGATAGGTGAAGTCATGCTTCTATGTTTTTGTTGTAGTTGGGTCCCGTGATGGGTGAAGTCATGTTTCTGTGTTTATGTTGTAGTTGGATCAACCTTCTGTGTTTATGTTGTAGTTGGGTCCCATGATGGATGAAGTCATGTTTCTGTGTCTTTGTTGTAGTCGGGTCCCGTGATGGGTGAAGTCATGTTTCTGTGTCTTTGTTGTAGTTGGGTCCGGTGATGGGTGAAGTCATGCTTCTGTGTTTATGTTGTAGTTGGGTCCGGTGATGGGTGAAGTCATGCTTCTGTGTTTATGTTGTAGTTGGATCAACCTTCTGTGTTAATATTGTAGTTGGGTCCCGTGATGGGTGAAGTCATTCTTCTGTGTTTATGTTGTAGTTGGATCAACCTTCTGTGTTTATGTTGTAGTTAGGTCCCATAATGTGTGAAGTTATGTTTCTGTGTTTTTGTTGTAGTTGGGTCCCGTGATGGGTGAAGTCATGCTCCTGTCTTTATGTTGTAGTTAGATCAACCCTCTGTGTTTATGTTGGAGTTGGGTACCGTGATTGGTGAAATCATGTTTCTGTGTTTATGTTGTAGTTTGGTCCTATTATGGGTGAAGTCATGCTCCTGTGTTTATGTTGTAGTTTGGTCCTATAATGGGTGAAGTCATGATTCAGTGTTTATGTTGTAGTTTGGTCCCGTGATGGGTGAAGCCATGTTTCTGTGTTTATGTTGTAGTTGGGTCCCGTGATGTGTGAAGTCATGTTTCTGTGTTTATGTTGTAGTTGGGTCCCGTGATGTGTGAAGTCATGATTCAGTGTTTATGTTGTAGTTGGGTCCCGTGATGGGTGAAGCCATGTTTCTGTGTTTATGTTGTAGTTGGGTCCCGTGATGTGTGAAGTCATGTTTCTGTGTTTATGTTGTAGTTGGGTCCCGTGATGGGTGAAGTCATGCTTCTGTGTTTATGTTGTAGTTGGGTCCTGTGATGGGTGAAGTCATGCTTCTTAATGCACCCATCACGGGACCCAACTACAACAAAAACACAGAAACATGACCTAATGCACCCATCACGGGACCAAACTACAACATAATCACAGAAGGTTGATCCAACTACAACATAAACACAGAAGGTTGATCCAACTACAACATAAACACAGAAGGTTGATCCAACTACAACAAAAACACAGATAATGCATAAAGGGACACACGTTGTTGGTAAAACACGTATACCCTCCAGAAACTGTCTGAACATCTCCTTAATGATATAGGACATCTTCCCTCATCCTACTGACCTGTTGTAGTGATGTGGACTCCATGGAGAAAGCATCTTCCTGGTTCTTCATCACTGAAAAGGCAAACAATCAGGGCATATACTACACTCAGCAGCATCGCAGGGCACCATACAATCAGGGCATATACTACACTCAGTGGCATCATATTGTGCCTTACAATCAGGGCACATACGACGCTCAACAGCATCACAGGGCACCATACAATCAGGGCATATACTACACTCAGTGGCATCATATTGTGCCTTACAATCAGGGCACATACGACGCTCAACAGCATCACAGGGCACTATACAATCAGGGCATATACGGCATTCAGCAGCATCGCAGGGCACTATACATTCAGGGCATATACTACACTCAGTGGTATCATGTGGTGCCATACAATCAGGGCATATACGACGCTCAACAGCATTGCAGGGCACCATACAATCAGGGCATATACTACACACAGAAGCACCGCAGGGAGCCATACAATCAGGACATATACTACACACAGAAACACCGCAGGGAGCCATACAATCAGGACATATACTACACACAGAAGCACCGCAGGGAGCCATACAATCAGGACATATACTACACACAGAAGCACCGCAGGGAGCCATACAATCAGGACATATACTACAATCAGAAGCACCGCAGGGAGCCATACAATCAGGACATATACTACAATCAGAAGCACCGCAGGGAGCCATACAATCAGGACATATACTACAATCAGAAGCACCGCAGGGAGCCATACAATCAGAACATATACTACAATCAGAGGCACCGCAGGGAGCCATACAATCAGGACATATACTACACACAGAGGCACCGCAGGGAGCCATACAATCAGGACATATACTACAATCAGAGGCACCGCAGGGAGCCATACAATCAGGACATATACTACACACAGAAGCACCGCAGGGAGCCATACAATCAGGACATATACTACAATCAGAGGCACCGCAGGGAGCCATACAATCAGGACATATACTACACACAGAAGCACCGCAGGGAGCCATACAATCAGGACATATACTACAATCAGAGGCACCGCAGGGAGCCATACAATCAGGACATATACTACAATCAGAAGCACCGCAGGGAGCCATACAATCAGGACATATACTACAATCAGAGGCACCGCAGGGAGCCATACAATCAGGACATATACTACACACAGAGGCACCGCAGGGAGCCATACAATCAGGACATATACTACAATCAGAGGCACCGCAGGGAGCCATACAATCAGGACATATACTACACACAGAGGCACCGCAGGGAGCCATACAATCAGGGCACATACTACAATCAGAGGCATCACGTGGCACCACAGAATCAGGAAATATACTACACACAGCAGTATTGCAGGGCACCATACAATCAGGGCATATACTACACACAGCAGTATTGCAGGGCACCATACAATCAGGGCATATACTACACTCAGCGGCATCACAGGGCACCATACAATCAGGGCATATACTACACACAGCAGTATTGCAGGGCACCATACAATCAGGGCATATACTACACAAAGCAGTATTGCAGGGCACCATACAATCAGGACATATACTATACTCAGGTCACCACAGAATCAGGACATATACGACACTCAGCGGCATCACGTGGCACCAAACAATCAGGACATATACTACACTCAGGTCACCAGAGAATCAGGACATATACGACACTCAGCGGCATCACGTGGCACCATACAATCAGGACATATACTACACTCAGCGGCAGCAAGTGGCACCATACAATCAGGGCATATACTACACACAGCAGCATCGCAGGGCACCATACAATCAGGGCATATACGCCGCTCAGCCGCATCAAGTGGCACCAAACAATCATGACATATACTACACTCAGGTCACCACAGAATCAGGACATATACTACACACAGCAGTATTGCAGGGCACCAAACAATCATGGCCTATACTACACTCAGGTCACCACAGAATCAGGACATATACTACACACAGCAGTATTGCAGAGCACCAAACAATCAAGGCATATACTACACTCAGGTCACAACAGAATCAGGACATATACTACATACAGCAGTATTGCAGGGCACCAAACAATCATGGCCTATACTTCACTCAGGTCACCACAGAATCAGGACATATACTACACTCAGCGGCACCAAGTGGCACCATACGATCAGGGCATATACCACAATCAGAGGCATCACTTGGCACCAAACAATCAGGATATATACTACACACAGCGGCAGCAAGTGGCACCATACAACCAGGGCATATACTACACTCAGTGGCATCACGTGGCACTATACAATCAGGGCATATACTACACTCAGTGGCATCACGTGGCACCAAACAATCAGGGCATATACTACACTCAGCGGCAGTAAGTGGCACCATACAATCAGGGCATATACTACACTCAACAGCATCATGTGGCACCATACAATCAGGGCATATACTACACTCAGTGGCATCACGTGGCACCATACAATCAGGGCATATACTACACAGAGCGGCAGCAAGTGGCACCATACAATCAGGGCATATACCACAATCAGAGGCATCACTTGGCACCAAACAATCAGGATATATACTACACTCAGTGGCATCACGTGGCACCATACAATCAGGGCATATACTACACTCAGTGGCATCACGTGGCACCATACAATCAGGGCATATACTACACTCAGTGGCAGCAAGTGGAACCATACAATCAGGGCATATACTACACTCAGTGGCATCACGTGGCACCATACAATCAGGGCATATACTACACTCAGCAGCATCACGTGGCACCAAACAATCAGGGCATATACTACACTCAGTGGCATCACGTGGCACCATACAATCAGGGCATATACTACACTTAGCGGCAGCAAGTGGCACCGAAAAATCAGGGCATATACTACACTCAGTGGCATCACGTGGCACCATACAATCAGGGCATATACTACACTCAACAGCATCAAGTGGCACCATACAATCAGGGCATATACTACACTCAGTGGCATCACGTGGCACCATACAATCAGGGCATATACTACACACAGCGGCAGCAAGTGGCACCATACAACCAGGGCATATACTACACTCAGTGGCATCACGTGGCACCATACAGTCAGGGCATATACTACACACAGCAGTATTGCAGGGCACCAAACAATCAGGGCATATACTACACTCAGCGGCATCACGTGGCACCATACAATCAGGGCATATACTACACTCAGTGGCATCACGTGGCACCATACAATCAGGGCATATACTACACTCAGTGGCATCACGTGGCACCATACAATCAGGGCATATACTACACTCAGTGGCAGCAAGTGGAACCATACAATCAGGGCATATACTACACTCAGTGGCATCACGTGGCACCATACAATCAGGGCATATACTACACTCAGCAGCATCACGTGGCACCAGACAATCAGGGCATATACTACACTCAGTGGCATCACGTGGCACCATACAATCAGGACATATACTACACTTAGCGGCAGCAAGTGGCACCGAAAAATCAGGGCATATACTACACTCAGTGGCATCACGTGGCACCATACAATCAGGGCATATACTACACTCAACAGCATCAAGTGGCACCATACAATCAGGGCATATACTACACTCAGTGGCATCACGTGGCACCATACAATCAGGGCATATACTATACTCAGTGGCATCACGTGGCACCAAACAATCAGGGCATATACTACACTCAGTGGCATCACGTGGCACCATACAATCAGGGCATATACTACACTCAGTGGCATCACGTGGCACCATACAATCAGGGCATATACTACACACAGCGGCAGCAAGTGGCACCATACAACCAGGGCATATACTACACTCAGTGGCATCACGTGGCACTATACAATCAGGGCATATACTACACTCAGTGGCATCACGTGGCACCAAACAATCAGGGCATATACTACACTCAGATCACCACAGAATCAGGACATATACTACACACAGCAGTATTGCAGGGCACCAAACAATCAGGACATATACTACACTCAGCGGCAGCAAGTGGCACCATACAATCAGGGCATATACTACACACAGCAGCATTGCAGGGCACCATACAATCAGGGCATATACTACAATCAGCGGCAGCAAATGGCACCAAACAATCAGGACATATACTACATTCAGCGGCAGCAAGTGGCACCAAACAATCAGGGCAGATACTACACTTGGTGGCATTACGTGGCACCATATAATCAGGGCATAAGTTACACTCAGGTCACCACAGAATCAGGACATATACTACACACAGCAGTATTTCAGGGCACCAAACAATCAGGACATATACTACACTCAGGTCACAACAGAATCAGGACATATACTACACACAGCAGTATTGCAGGGCACCATACAATGATGGCCTATACTACACTCAGGTCACAACAGAATCAGGACATATACTACACACAGCAGTATTGCAGGGCACCATACAATCATGGCCTATACTACACTCAGGTCACAACAGAATCAGGACATATACTACACACAGCAGTATTGCAGGGCACCATACAATCATGGCCTATACTACAATCAGCGGCAGCATATGACAGTATTCTCGTGACATCATCACAGCATGTCAGAAGGGAAAAGAAAGCCCCACATGATGCAGATCTACAACGTTTACCACTTCGGTGGTGAAACGCATGAACATGGGTGTGGTGCTGACAAACCATGAGCCAAATCATGGTGAATCTGAGATTCCAAACTATGATTCGGACCTGAGGGAGTGTCAACAGAAGCAAGTGGAGTGAAGAACCTACTCTTCTGGGTGTCCAGCTGTAGAGACTGCAGCTGCCGGATGAGCTCTGCTTGCTGACTGGAGTGTTCTGTCAGCTGGTTGTGACTGGCCCACAGCTCAGACAGCTCCTTCCTGCAATGCAACATGTACACATGTATACAATGCAATACAACATGTATAACATGTACAACATACAAAACACGTACAACATACACAACATACACAAAATGTATAACACGTAAAATATACACAACTCGTTCAACATGTACAACACAAACAACATACACATTATGTACAACATACACAATATGTACAACATACACAACATGTACAACATACACAACATGTACAACATACACAACATGTACAACATACACAACATGTACAACATACACAACATGTACAACAACATGTACAACATACACAACATGTACAACATACACAACATGTACAACATACACATAATGTACAACATACACAACATGTACAACATACACAACATGTACAACATACACAACATGTACAACATACACAACATGTACAACATACACAATATACACATGTACAACATACACAACATGTACAACATACACAACATGTACAACATACACATCACGTACAACATACACAACACGTACAACATACACAACACGTACAATATACACAACACGTACAACATACACAACATACACAACATACACATGTACAACATACACAACACGTACAACATACACAACACATACATATTGCATACAACATACACAACACGTACAACATACACAGCACGTACAACATACTCAACACATACAACATACACAACACATACACAATGCATACAACATACACAACACATAGAACATACACAACAGATACAACATATACATGTACACCATATATAGCATGCACATTGACAATGTGTGCAAGATGTACATGTATAATGAAGAGTACAACTGTTACAACATATACATGTACAGTAAACTACGTCGCTTATAACGAACTGACCGATATAACAAATTTATGTTTCAGTCCCGGCCATTTGTTGTATATATACTACGGTTACAATATGTGCCAGATGTACAATGGGTACAATAGAAACAACATATACATCATCTTCCCAAGGCAAGTGAGTTCACTGACTACAGAAGTCTGGTTTCCACCCTTGCCCAACTAGCCTGGAAAAATGGAGTTATATTTTGACTGGACTAACGAGTCTATGCATAGGCCACACAAAATCGTGCAACGAAATCGACATCTGGTTTGTAAACAACATGGCGACTGCCGTGCAGATTTCGGTTGATTGCAGGACTTGCAAAGCATGTGTACCATCAACTAGGAATTGGGAGATTTTTTCCAAATCTTTTCATGTTTTTAATCAATGTGCTGAAGTCTGTCCCAGCTGTATTTCGCGATTCTACAGTTACATTATATTTTGCAGAAATGCCCGCTCAGTCCAGAAAAATGACTTTTTGTGCAGAATTTGTGCAGCATTTTGCATGTTGCAGAATTCATCAAATACACTGAAGAATACAGTGGGGACAATATCTACAACATTTGCAACATGAATAACGGGTACAACCTATACATGTAAAACATGTACAACACATACATGTACAATAGGAACAACATGTTTTGTTTGTTCATTTGTTTGTTGTCAAACTCAGCAATATTACAGCTGTATGATGGCATCTGTAAATAATCTAAACTGGACCAAACAATCCAGTGATTGACATCATGAGCATCAGTCTACGCAATTGGGATACGATGACATGCATCAACCAAGTCAGCGTGCCTGACCACGTGATCCCATTAGTCGCACGCATAGTAACCTTTTACGGCAAGCATAGGTTGCTGAAGACCTATTCTACACATACCTCATTCCCATCATACATAACACATACTTTGTACAATATGTACAACATGTATAACGGGTACAACATATACATGTAAAACATATAACACATACTTTGTACAATATGTACAACATGTATAACAGTTACAACATATACATGTTAAACATATAACACATACTTTGTACAATATGCACAACATGTATAATGGGTACAACATACCGGTATACATGTAAAAAATATTTATAATACATACATGTACAATATGTACAACATGTTTAACAGGTACAACATATACATGTAAAACAGATATAACACATACATGTACAATATGTACAACATGTATAACGCTACAACATATACATGTAAAACAGATATAATACATACATGTTCAATATGTACAACATGTATAACGCTACAACATATACATGTAAAACAGATATAACACATACATGTACAATATGTACAACATGTATAACGCTACAACATATACATGTAAAACAGATATAATACATACATGTTCAATATGTACAACATGTATAATGGGTACAACATATACTTGTAAAACAGATATAATACATACATGTACAATATGTACAACATGTATAACAGGTACAAATATACATGTAGAACAGATATAACACATACATGTACAATATGTACAACATGTATAACAGGTACACCATATACATGTAAAACAGATATCACACATACATGTACAATATGTACAACATGTATAACAATTACAACATATATATGTAAAACATATAACATACTTTGTACATACATGTACAATATGTACAACATGTATAACTTGTACAACATATACATGTAAAACATATATAACACATACATGTACAATATGTATAACATGTATCCCCAATTCCTCAGAATTTATGAAAATGAGAACAATTAAAACAACCACAATTTGGACAATATCACTATTTTGTCCCATCTTTCTTAGTTTAGAATCCTTGATTAAGCCCTGGGTTTTCAAAATCTTAATACTCGTTTGATGAGGCAAACATTGTGCTATGTCCTTAAAGGGGGACTGTTCTCTACAGCCTAGTGCCCATCTTCAGCAAAGCTCCTCTTTAACTGAGACACACCTCAACTAAGCCACCACCATGATCATGTTGTTAAGAGTCTCCACAAGAGTGATGGACATACCTGACATTCTCCAGCTCCCTGTTCTTGTATGTGATCTCCCTCTGCTGTTGCCGGCCATCTTCCTCAAACCTCTGGAGCTTTTGGTTTGCCTCCTCTAACTGTGTACAACAGAGATATACATACAAGGGTGTCGATCAACTGTCTCACTAACACAGTACACCAAAAACCTCACAGTATGACTTGAATTTAGTTGACAGAAAATCATTGGCCTCCTTCCAGACATCTAGCGAACTTGCACAAATCAAAATATGTAATCCACTACACACAGCATATATGAAGGTATTGCTGATTCTGTCCTGCATGCCTTGTAGTGATTGTTTACAGATACTTTAGAGAACACACAAGTTACAGCCTCATTCCCGCTATACATGGTCACAATGGGAGGCTGGCTCTCTCCAGCCCTGTAGTGACAATGTTGGGTGTACGTCAGTCATGGCTTCATTCCCATCACACATACACATAATTGGAGGCTGGCTCTGTCCTGCCCTGTAGTGACAGTGCTGGGTGTACACCAGTCATGGCCTTATTCCCATCACACATAGACACAATGGGAGGCTGGCTCTGTCCTGCCCTGGAGTGACAGTGCTTGGTGTACATCAGTCATGGCCTCATTCCCATCACACATAGACACAATGGGAGGCTGGTCCCTTCCTGCCCTGTAGTGACAATGTTGGGTGTACATCAGTCATGGCCTCATTCCCGATATACATGGTCACAATGGGAGGCTGGCTCTGTCCTGCCCTGTAGAGACAGTGTTGGGTGTACATCAGTCATGGCCTCATTCCCATCACACATAGACACAATGGGAGGCTGGCTCTGCCCTGCCCTGTAGTGACAGTGTTGGGTTTACACCAGTCATGGCCTCATTCCCATCACACAGACACAATGGGAGGCTGGCTCTGTCCTGCCCTGTAGTGACAGTGCTGGGTGTACCCCAGTCATGGCCTCATTCCCATCACACATAGACACAATTGGAGGCTGGCTCTCTCTTGCTCTGTAGTGATGGGTGTACACCAGTCATGGCCTCATTCCCATCACACACAGACACAATGGGAGGCTGGCTCTGTCCTGCCCTGTTGTGACAGTGTTGGGTGTACCCCAGTCATGGCCTCATTCCCATCACACATAGACACAATGGGAGGCTGGCTATGCCCTGCCCTGTAGTGACAGTGTTGGGTGTACACCAGTCATGGCCTGATTCCCGCTATACATGGTCACAATGGGAGGCTGGCTCTGTCCTGCCCTGTAGTGACAGTGCTGGGTGTACATCAGTCAGGCCTCATTCCCATCACACATAGACACAATGGGAGGCTGGCTCTGTCCTGCCCTGTAGTGACAGTGTTGGGTGTACACCAGTCATGGCCTCATTCCCATCACACATAGACACAATGGGAGGCTGGCTCTGTCCTGCCCTGTAGTGACAGTGCTGGGTGTACATCAGTCATGGCCTCATTCCCATCACACACAGACACAATGGGAGGCTGGCTCTGTCCTGCCCTGTAGTGTTGGGTGTACACCAGTCATGGCCTCATTCCCATCACACATAGAAACAATGGGAGGCTGGCTCTGTCCTGCCCTGTTATGACAGTGTTGGGTGTACCCCAGTCATGGTCTCATTCCCATCACACATAGACACAATGGGAGGCTGGCTATGCCCTGCCCTGTAGTGACAGTGTTGGGTGTACACCAGTCATGGCCTCATTCCCACTATACATGGTCACAATGGGAGGCTGGCTCTGTCCTGCCCTGTACACCGGTCATGGCCTCATTCCCATCACACATAGACACAATGGGAGGCTGGTCCCTTCCTGCCCTGTAGTGACAATGTTGGGTGTACATCAGTCATGGCCTCATTCCCGCTATACATGGTCACAATGGGAGCCTGGCTCTGTCCTGCCCTGTCGTGACAGTGTTGGGTGTACACCAGTCATGGCCTGATTCCCGCTACACATGGTCACAATGGGAGCCTGGCTCTGTCCTGCCCTGTAGTGACAGTGTTGGGTGTACACCAGTCATGGCCTCATTCCCGCTATACATGGTCACAATGGGAGGCTGGCTCTGTCCTGCCCTGTAGTGACAGTGTTGTGTGTACACCAGTCATGGCCTCATTCCCATCACACATAGACACAATGGGAGGCTGGCTCTCTCTTGCCCTGTAGTGATGGGTGTACACCAGTCATGGCCTCATTCCCATCACACACAGACACAATGGGAGGCTGGCTCTGTCCTGCCCTGTTGTGACAGTGTTTGGTGTACCCCAGTCATGGCCTCATTCCCATCACACATAGACACAATGGGAGGCTGGCTCTGTCCTGCCCTGTAGTGACAGTGTTTGGTGTACATCAGTCATGGCCTCATTCCCATCACATATAGACACAATGGGAGGCTGGCTCTGCCCTGCCCTGTAGTGTTGGGTGTACACCAGTCATGGCCTCATTCCCATCACATATAGACACAATGGGAGGCTGGCTCTGTCCTGCCCTGTTATGACAGTGTTGGGTGTACCCCAGTCATGGCCTCATTCCCGCTATACATGGTCACAATGGGAGGCTGGCTCTGCCCTGCCCTGTAGTGACAGTCATGGCTCATTCCGATCACTCTTATAGACACAATGGGAGGTTGGCTCTGTCCTGCCCTGTAGGGTTGGGCATACACCACATCATTGTCAGGGATCAATACACTAGGGAAAAGGCCCAGGCAGGTTAGGCATTGTACAGATGGAGTTTTCTCCCTTGTCTCACCAATTACTCAAATGATCATTCAAGACACATATATTTATTCTGCTAACTGAAAACTCTAGGAAGACCAGTCACTGGAGTCTTCATTTTCTTCTCCCTTCATTATATGTGATACAGATTTTCAAAACTCACCTCTTGGACAAGACTCTGAAACTTGGTCACCTTGTCTGACACCTCTCTGTCAAGTGTCTGAAATACATAAACATACCGTGAGCACAACACCAACTATCAGCTACCAGTTGCCTGACTACACACCTTGAACTCACTTCAATACCCTGTGGCCATGATGACCATGATCCTTTACCGTGGCTGCAGGGTTATTCTAACTTCTCAAAGATTTTACTGCATTCAGCAAACATGAACCTCTTCAGTCTTTGAATGAATAAATTAATCCTAATCCATATAAATACAAAACTTCCTGTATATAAATTAATATGTACTAGTTCAGTCACCTAACGAAGGGACTAGTAGCCCTGGACCATTACAAGAAACAATGAGGTAGTTTTAAACAAACATCATATTACTACGAAAAGCTAATGATTGAGTGTATACACGGAATAACAGATGATGGATGCATGGGCCATTAGTTGATGCAAGTGACCAGATTGGGGTGAGATTCATGTCCGGTCACTCTTCACTGATAAAGGGATATGTATCAATCCTTCATGTTATTATCAGTTAAAGAAGTGTTATCCATTCACATTGTTCAATCTCAATACTCAATGATCTCAGCTGAAATGAAAACAGAAATTTCATGGTAATTTCATGGGTAAGGTTTCATAAATATTCCAAGTATATGACAACCAATACTGTGGTCACTGATGACACAAGTGGATATGCATACTGTGCAAGCAGACTCATCATTTCACTGCCCTGACATTGGCCATACTGTCATTAACAAAAAAACTATCATAATCATTTCTCAACACAAATATCATAAAAAATATTAGGCCTCTCACTCAAAAAAATCTGCCTGCAATGGTATATGGTACTGGATTTATTATCTTTAAAAATATGTAATTTATTAGCAAGAAGTTGAAATCACAATGTCTCACATACACAAATGTTCAAGGTAAGATTATCCTGACAAACTATTTGAAAAAATAAAAATTATGCTTTAGAGTGATGAAAAGAAAAGAAATTGCCTGGCAAAAAAGTTACATTGCTGCAAGGTGTTTTACTTAAGACAAATTCAGACTCACAGCTTTAAATAAAATAATATCTGCTTTTGTTGCAGTAATAAATATCTTATCTCGATACAAAATCTCAGCTGCACCCATCCCTACCCCACCACCCCGTGAATATCAAATGGTCGTCCCAAATACAGGCCAACATCTGTACAGGCCAACATCAAACTGTAATCAAACCTGGACCAGACAATCCAGTCACAATCCACACCCAAGTCTGGACCTGACAATCTCGTCACAATCCACACCCAAGTCTGGACCAGACAATCCAGTCACAATCCACACCTGAGTCTGGACTAGACAATCCAGTCACAATCCACACCTGAGTCTGGACTAGACAATCCAGTCACAATCCACTCCCAAGCCTGGACAAGACAATCCGGTCACAATCCACACCCACGTCTGGACCAGACAATCCAGTCACAATCCACACCCAAGTCTGGACCAGGCAATCCAGTCACAATCCCTACCCCAGCTGAAACAGACAATCCAGTCACAATCCAAACCCAAGCCTGGACCAGACAATCCAGTCACAATCCACACCTGAGTCTGGACCAGACAATCCAGTCACAATCAACACTCAAGCCTGGACCAGACAATCCGGTCACAATCCACACCCAAGTCTGGACGAGGCAATCCAGTCACAATCCACACCCACGTCTGGACCAGACAATCCAGTCACAATCCACACCCAAGTCTGGACCAGGCAATCCAGTCACAATCCCTACCCCAGTTGAAACAGACAATCCAGTCACAATCCCTACTCAAGCCTCGACCAGACAATCCAGTCATAATCCACACCCAAGCCTGGACCAGACAATCCAGTCACAACCCACACCCAAACCTGGACCAGACAATCCAGTCACAATCCACACCTGAGTCTGGACCAGACAATCCAGTCACAATCAACACTCAAGCCTGGACCAGACAATCCAGTCACAATCCACACCTGAGTCTGGACCAAACAATCCAGTCACAATCCACACCCAAGTCATGTCATGTTTAAGGTGGTACACTTTCAATAATTCTTAGTGAAATGAACTATTTCAATATTGAATGTATACATTAACTTAAACCCACTTAAGGAAGGTGGTTTGAATGGGTACGTGACAACCTCTGTGAGAGAGGCTATAACAGGACTAATTCATAGAACTCTTCACTAACTTTTTAGTCCGAATTCCCACATAGACTGTGTGACTTAAACAGTAATTAGATGAAATATGTTAACAGCTAATTCTGTTTCTCAGAACACAGCTACACATGATATCAACACTAGTAAGACCACAGACCCAGTGATGTCAACAATCTAATGACAATCATTTCAGATCACATGACATCACTTCATGTTACCATTTACACTACAGGAAAATACTACAAACTATTATTCCAATTGAGACTAAGTAATAAATAAGGATGCAATGATCAACATTCAAGTCCCAGGGAATTTTCTCCTGAAAATCATAATGTAGTCTGCCTACATGATGAGACAAAGTGAATATCTTCCACCATATCTGCCCCAATCCTCCATCAAAAGTGCACTGATTCTTAGCCAAGAATTCCAGAAAAGCTAGAAAGCAAGATTTCTGACCACTCACTGTCTAATTGATCAAGCTGCAGTCAATGAAACCTATTAAAAAAAACCTGTAGTTACAAGGTGTCTGGTAATAGTTGCCATATGCAAAGACAAAGCGTGCTCATGTCCTGGTGATATCGGCAAAAGTACGGCTGCACAAAGAGAGTCGTCTACAGCAACAACTGCAGCAAGAGGTCTGGCAGGAGAACTAGACACTCCAGGAACCAAAGTCTGGATGACCATGCTCGTACAACCAGGTAAAGCATCAGTGTGAGATGCTGGTTCCAGAACCTTTGGAATCAATGAGATAAGTGGAAACGTTTAAGTGACCATCTCTGACCAATCGATGGATAGCGTATCCACAGCCAAAGCTAGCAGATCGGGAGAAACAAGAGAAACAAAATGGGAAGTTGTGCATTTATATGAGTGGCAAAAAGGTCAGCATTCCCTATCCTGAGTGATCAACTGGAAGGCTTCTTCATAAAGCAACAACTCAGTGGAAGTTACCTTGGTGTCACCTAAGTGTCTCCAACAACATTGAAGTGACCAGGAATGTGTTGAACAGTCAACTTGATGCTGAACTGATTTTTCAGATTGTAGAAAGAGACAGTGAGATGTAGGAGTAGCTAGGAAAGAGTGGCCCCTATCTTCCTGATGTAAGTGACTGCAGTGACAGTCCTGAGACCTCCTCCGTCATCTAGTGGTAGAACGTCTGCTCGGAGACCAGAAGGTCTGGGTTCAGTCCCCTGCTGCGTCATACCAAAAGATGGTAAAAGATAGTACTTGTTGTTACCCTGCCTGGCGCACAGTACTTAAAGGGCTAAAACAAAGACTTGTTGGCTTGGAGTCAGCATACTATGTCTGGGTTTGAAGTCATTTCAAACTGTACCATGGTATCTCAGTGGGTTAGCACAATGAAATTGGCACTAGCCCAGACAAGTACAAGAAGCCACACACACACGCATGTGCGTCGCTATCAAATTGCAATAACTTTGGATGTGACGTTAAACCCCATGTCACCTCCACAGTCCTGAACACTAGAAGATGCATACAAAGCCTAGGCCCAGTTCTAATTCATTGATGCATAGAAGAGCCTCCTAGGGAGGATGGATCTGTGAATACCCAGACCTGCAGCAGCAATGGGGGAAGCGTTACCCCGAGCAGGAGGTCAGAATCCATCAGCAGCCAATGGAGCTCATCATGGATTTCTACCTGAAGACAGATTAAAAAATCCAGAGGAGAGCAGACTCAACAGATTATCGCAAAAGCAACCCTCATTGTTGACCTTTCCCAGACTTCTTTCAGAAGTGAACTAGATGATACTTGCTAGGCCAAGGCAGGCTGCTAGCCAGACAACTGGGCCAGAAACAGGGAAATGGAGTCGAAAGACATGCAGTAGTCGGAGCCTGTTTGCTCAGGAGGTCCTTCAGTCATGAAGTTAATCGTGGTGGGAAGTCGACATCACATACTTGACAGGTGGCAACTTAGACTTCTGAAATGATAGTAGAATTTTTCCATTTTACTTTATGTTGTTCCTGGTGATTATATTCAACAATCGCCTGCGCCAACTGCCTGTCAAACCGATGCCTGCTACATATACGAAACAGATCATTTCTGAAGAGTTTGAGGCTGAAAACCCTTCAGCAAAAGAGCCTGGCGCAAGAGAGTCATTAAGGATGACAACCAAAGCTATGATGAATATCTTCCAAATACTTGGCCACAGAGTCCAACAATGTATGACAAGCTAAACCATCATGGCTAGTTGAGGATGCTGGGGCTAATGAGCATGTGGACCATAGGTGTTAGCCATAGGCCACTACAGAACAATGACGACAACTCCACCTTGCTGAGGAGAGGTAACTCTGTATGCTGGTCTCAAAGATAAGACAAAAAATACAGAAGAGAGTTAAAAGATTTTTTTATGGGAGCATACGGATACACACATAGGTTCATGAGAACCCATTGTCATGATCCCCCCGAACTAGACATGTAATATCATTCATTGACATGTTCATCATTCATCAATATGTTTATCGTTCCCTGATGAATGTGTACACACTGACTACCCGACTGTGACAAGTACTCTCAATCCAGAGACCATATCGCATAGCTGTCAACCTCAAAGGTATTCCATGAGTGAGGTGTATATCAGTCTGGGTCAGGTTTGGTTGAGAGTCCATCTTAACTGATTTTAACCATTTTGCCCAGTATTTAGGAGCGCTTCTGCTTGGAAGTCTTTTTTGTAAAAGGTCTTAACAGAGAGATGTAAAAATAATGACAGTGGCAATGAGAAACAGGCAATTCGGCACAGACTTATAGCACGATGTTTTGAAAAGTTGTTTTGAGTGAATAGGCATGAGGTTAGTGTTACACATTGCGTGTGACAGTGAGTTTTGTTGAAAAAGCGTGAGTCTCACGCCAAATGTGTA